TTCGCCGCTCGCGAGCAAAAGGTTCCTTGATACCGCGTGACCTCTATAGTTAATTAATTGTTCAAGGATTGTTCAGTATAAAGACATCTCCTGTGAATTGCTAGCTTTCAAGTTACGTGCAATTACGTACATTGCGTCTTAACGAATTAATTGAACTTGTCACTTCCTGCCCTTTTTTTTCTAATTAGGTGATTGAAAATGAAGTGAAATGGGGAAAACATTATAGTCTCACCGTACCAGGGTATGCAGTTCCATAGGAACGTAGAACTTTCATCAAAGTCAAAAAGAAATAGTATTTTTTCCTTGACGCCATTTAAGTTAAATATATATATATTTTCTACATCTCTCTCGTTTTCTTTCAGAAGAAAAAAAAAATGACAAACAAATTATTTGAAACCAAATTGATGGAGCAAAATTCGTTACAATATAATTAATGCATCTTCTCCAGTCATAGTGCGCATGCCCTGCAAGATGCATTTGTTTGCTGCCACCAAGCGTTTAAAATGTTCAATCTACGACTTGCTATGGGTGTGTGCGTTCGCTAAACTCACCCGGGTCGACACGGGTCAGCCCCGTGCTGTTCGATAGCTCTGACGTCATTCTCGGGGCTCACCCTGGTCAACCACCACAGACCCTGCTACTGCTCGTGGAGCAGAGTCAGTGGTAGAAATACGTCACATGCATGCGTTGTTCATTCCAAGAAACGGACAAATATGGAGGCTGGACAGCAGACATCTCAAGTTGACGTAAAAATTGACTTTTTTTTTAAGTCTAACGGTTATCATTTATTGAGTTCATTGCAACTTCTGAGGCTATTATAACACAGACCAACTTTTTTGAGTTTTGCAATAAATGCAGTAAATCTCAAACTTAGACCCAATCCGAAACGGGCATTTTGTCAGTGGCTACGGCCGCGCGGCTACGGGCGTTACGTGAGGATTGTGATGGCCCGTGGTTGAGCGTTCGATTAGCCCGGCTGTCGTGGCTAACCCGTCTGCCTTTACCCGAGTCGATCCGGGTGAGCTACTCGAACGCACCCAGTAACTGAAAGTAAAAGGGCAACGAACGGCACTTGTGCGCGGACCATCACAAAAATAGAAAAACCAAATTGATTCTTAACTGTATTTCGATGGGGAAAAAAAACCTCTCCCAGACGACATAACAATTTAGCCAAATTTGTCATTCTACGGCCATTGGCTTTCCGGAAATTCAGACACACAGAATTCCCCAAGCTCCATCGGGATAAAATCCCGCCCACGGGCGAGGGTGAATGCTCCGTTGCCCGCCACCATTTACATACACACGACCAATAAAAATTGAAATTCGCGGCCAGAAAAAAATACCTAAAGAATTAAAAAAAACATTCTCCCTGGGAGAACAAATATTATTGACTTAGTGAGTACTGAATTCAATGTAGGTCCAATATTAAATACGCCTGAAGTTATTCCTAAAAGCATATTATCTTCCACCAATAATGCTTACAAAATACTGTTATTTTTAGATATTTATATTTAGGGTAAAGCTTTTCGCTGCCGGTATGGCATATTTATATTTGCCTGCTCCGGTACAAACTTCTTGTTAAAGGGAATGTACAACATCTGCTTTTGCTGCAATTTTCAGAAATAAATGAATTTGGAAGATTAGTATGGCATAGCAAATATTGTTAAACTGACTTGCTTCACGTTTTGGGTTCGGAGATGCAGGAAAATCCACGAAAACCAACCATGTTCTTGTAGTCTGGTTCCCTGACCCTACTTAAGATGAAACGGAATAATTGATAGACTTTGGGGAATTGTAAGGTCAGAGAATCAGTCTATCAGGCTTGTACCCCTTCACAGGTGCGTAATCAATTGCAAAGGAAATGCGAAATAACTAAATATGAAAAATTAGGAGCACTTTTTGAAGGGAAACAAAAACAAGTTTTCTCCAACGCTGGTCGGCCGACCAGCGTTGGAAAATACAAGTTTTCTTGAAAATGTCAGCACACCAGGAGCCACAATTTTGCAGGATGCTTTTGACTGTCAGTCCAGTAAGATAGTTTATGATAATTTGATCACTTTGGTTTTTATGTTTGCAAATGTTATATCTTCCCTTCAAGCAGTTAGAAATAAGGCAAACGATAATTTAGAAAGAGCGCAGAGAGCACGTGGAAATGTCAGGTTGTTCATCAAGGCGTGTATACACGCCCCAGTTTTATGCGCCGTTAAATATTTACACAACGTCCCGTGTGTGTGACAGCGTGCTTGCCGACATGTCTTTGCAGTGAAACATGTAAAAAATAGTTCACTAATCATTAGAAATGAACAGGGCGAGTCAAAAACAACCCCCCAAAACAAAGAAATATATTTCATATAAAAAAACAATGTAGCACCAAAATTAATGAACTACTTTTACGTGAGAACATTATTTCAATTGCTCTACACGTTAAAACTGTATCACTATTTAAACGAAGTAACCCTAAACTAAGTTTCGTCCAAAAAACAAAAAGTAATTTATTGTTTGTTCTGACTGTTTGTAACAACCAAGAAAATGACACAGAATACTTTTTGCAACAGCTGTAGTGCACAATATCTTTATTACCTCTCCTGCATTGGCTAACAACAGGATTTATGCAATCCTCTTTTTTTTAAAGACGGGCTTTTGAAAGAACTTAAATTGGCTTACCAGTCATAATTATTTTTGGTGCTACTTGTTTTTGTTTTTAAATATGAAATATATTTGTTCGGGTTTGGGTTCCGCTTTTTTGTTGACTCACCCTGTATGTTAATAATTACTCGTGAATGTAGACGTCATGAGTGGTAAATACAAAATATTTTATTAGTAACGAGTCATCATCATCATTAGGCGATAATGATGATGATGAACACGAGTTATCAACCGTAAAACGTTTAGACGTAAGCGTTTACAGGTATTACTTTGGGTAGTTATTGTTCAGGTGTGTTTTTTTTAAGGAAAATTTGTTTCAATCGCATAAAGTCCGTTTGGCGCCTGCGAGATTATGCGAGAAATTGACGTCACCGTGATCTGACAGCCTTTACTGCAGAAACATTTTGATGGAGTTGTTATTCCGCCGGTCCATTTAGTTCAGAGGTCTCTATTTACTGATTGTGCTCCAGTGATAAGCCGAGACCGGTTAATAATGAAAAAAATATATCATTAGGTCCGCGATCCAAAGTGCATACAAACAGAGCGCGTAAAGCCTACGGGTTTCAAAACAGAGCCGCGAGGGGGTGTGCTCATGCAGCGTGCACGGTCACGTTTTACTGATATTATCTGGCCGATGATCTTATAAAGCCGGCAAGTGCAGGAACTAGACTTTGACCTTTGACTTTTTGTGACTCAGTTTTGTGGTGTTGGTGTATACACGTAAATTGGCTTTAAACTTTGGTCGAAGTTTTGTAACCGCTTTTGTATACACGATGTATTGTTGTGGTGGCGTTGACGGTCGGTTTGAAGTTCATGTGCAGTTTGTTCTTTCGTTAGTGCATAAACCTCAAAACTTTGATTAAGTTGGTTAGAACATGGATTCCTTTACTCTTAAACTCCGTGTTTTCTCAGTCTACCAAACCTTTTAGATTATCTTGGTATGACTTTGGAGTTTTAACGTGCCAAAGTTGGAACTGACGTAAGTATACATCTTTCGTTTATTCGGTTCACAATTCAACATCAAAGGCTAGCTCCACTGTCAAAGAACTTGGATGAAGTGTACGGCTGTTTCCGGGGTTCAACCATAAACCACGTCAGAACCCGTCATATGACAGTAATGGTATAGCACTTTGCGCAAGGAAGCTTCACTGTTTACCATTAGAATTCAATTGGGTGTTATGCTATTCGGTAAAGCATAACAGCAAATTGAATTATATTGGTATAATATTATACATGTGCAAGCGTATTCATACCTATTTAATCTCGCAGCACTATGTCACTGAATCATGTATTGTACCAGAAGGTTTTTCCATAGAACAGGTCAGACATGGATGAGACCAATACAGAAAGAATATGTGACCTGCCATAGCACAATGAGGAATAACCCCCAACCTTGACTTTTCACGTTATGTACCTCATGTTAAAGCGGAAATCCTTAGCTTTCCAATGATACCAAATTTGTTTCTGTACCTTTTTTCCCCAAAGATATGACGCAGGACCTTCAACAGTGTCCTTCCAAGTTTCGCTAACTTCCTTTCGAAAAAAAAACGGCTTTGAAAAAAAAAGACACGCATTGCGCCACCAACGGCAGTGAAAAAACGTTCTTCAGTTTTTCCACTTTGGGTATTTTTTCCCGACAAAAATGCATAGTGTGAATCTTGGATACCTTGGCTACTCAAAAATACAAAACAATCAATAAGGAATTTGACATGATTTGTCTATGATATCCGACTTCAGGCATCAATTACTCAAAAATAGGTTTTGCCTCATTTTGCCTCAGTAGGTCACATATTCTCAAGAGAATGAATCATGATAAAGTGGTCACGACACCATTCACTCATAATGTTTTCGTCTAGTTTTCCCCTCGGCAAGCACACCTTTTTAGTAACGTCATCAAAAATGCGCGCTGTTGGCACGTAGGCAGTATCTTATAGGCAAGACGCAATGTTATCAACTTGGACGGTTTCAATATATATTCTGGAAGAAATGCTCCAGCCTGCTTCTGAGGAGTTTTATGAGGACACTCAAGGAACATCGAGTGATCTCAAGACGTGACATGAGCTCAAGAAGTTTCTGAATCTCCTTGTCGGGGCAGAAAACACCCGGTTCACGTAACTACGACACCGACCAAAATCTGCTTACAAATAAGTGTCACGTAGCCCATTCTATAAGGTAGATCTTTGCGAAAGGGGAGTGCGGTGCGAGATTGAAATGATCAGATAACCCATTTTTTTACCTTGTAACCAATACACCTCAGGTAGAATTTCTAGACTTTTAAATGTCAGTGTTGGTTGTTTTGATCTGCTGACATTTCCTGTTTTTGTATTTTTTTTTTATCCAACATTGTACAGGTCCCAAACAAGAAAGCCGAGAGCCTCTTCGCCCAAACGTGCTTGCTTGGTCTTCGTCTGTTTTCTTTTACTGCAAGTAAGTTCCATGATTTGTCATTAAATCCTTCAATAAATTGTCAAAGAGAGCACAAAGTTCTACGCAACTGATTCTGAAAGAGAAGTCACTGGAACTTAGTTTTCATGCATGTGGGCTATACACAATGGCGGGATTTAGCCCATTCATTGGCGTTATGGGGTAAACCTATACGATAGCACTGCCCAGCTCACAACTGACAGTCAGTGAGTCAGTCAGCTAGTCAACTATTATGAGGACACCAAGCTGGCCCTCTGGGGCTAGCAAATATTCCTGCCACAACTTTATCATCCATGACATAAATTACAGCTCGTGAACCTCGTAGTAATTAACCCTAACCCTGCTCAGTCCAACAGGATCCAACTATGTTACATACCCGCTGGCTCCTGTTGGATTGAAGAATAAACCCCTTGTATCTATTCCTGTTGAAATCTGTTGGATTCTGCAGGCAACTCAAAACATTCAGAGTCGGATTCTGTTGGGTACTGGTAAATAATGCCAAGTTGGACTCTGTTGGATCCAGAGGAAACAGACAAATACGGCACAGTTGGATTCTGTTGGATTGAGCACGTCAGGGGGTCATTTTACATGTTCAGGTACCAACAACTTGACACGCTGGATTGAGTGGGACTGTGTTAGATTGAGTAGGAAACTCATATAACCGCACTCTGTTGGATTTCGCAAGGTAGTCCTGGGGAACTATTTGGGGTTGAGATATCAAAAACCATGAGAAAAAAAAGTTAACTGGTTTCTTCATTCAGTCAAAATCGAATCCGAATTTTACCTAGCGATACGAAACCCTCTGTAATCTCATTAACGGAGAATTCTACCACATTGGAAAACGAAATCAGCCAAAAACGAACTGATATTTACAACATCCGAGTTTGCCAACCACCGTAATTTGGAGTCACTTCCGTACAGAAATGTATCGGTTACCAAATTTTCTCCGACGAAGGAGACAGGAGTGGTTATCCGTGTCGCTCTCAAAACTCAACAGTTTGACCTTACAGCAATACCCTCGCTAGACTTTTAAACCCAAGCACGATCCCAACCACTTAGGTCTGTTATTCCTAGGGCAACTCTTCGCCCGTGTACGATAAAAAAAAAACTCTAAAAAGAAGGACACTATCATAATAAATGGGTAATTTTTAGTAATCGCCGACGGCCATTGGGTGCATTAAGAAAATATACACGTCGCCAGAGCGCGAACGAGTTTAAGACTTTGTGGCCACGAGGGTTTATGCGTACGCGCGGAAATTCCTACAAAATTGGCTGATGCTTGTGACAGTGCCAGAAAGAAGACCCATCCTTACGCGAGGTTATCATATCAACCAATCATATACATAAATGAGTTCGGGGGGAAATGGCGTGCATGGAACAGCCGTAGGCGAAAAGGTGTTTTCTTTCTTAATTTCATCTTTTCCAAATTTTGATTAAAATATATGTCGACGTTTAAGGTAAGTGCGCGCGAATTAAGTTAACACGTCCGAATCTGAAAATTGAGAGTTGGTCCACTAACCTCCGAAGTAACGTTGATATTCTTGCTCTGTAATTTGAGCTATGTCAAAAATGCGAAAGTAAAGGAAATATATCAGATTTTAAAAAAAATATTGTAAGCAACGCGTTTAGACAAGGACGTTTATTGCCACTTGAGTTTTTATTTTTAATCATGCTCTGTGTTTTTCTTCCACGTGAGAGTTGTGTCTTAAGCGGATCTAATCAACAGAGAGGATTAGGATTGCTGTTTCGAAATTGCGATTAAACTCATCTTTAAGAAGCTTAACAGCTTGGCTTGGATACGTGAACCTTTAATGTAATGTCATTCTGATTCTTCCGTGGAAAGTTTGTGTTTCTCAAAGTCAGAACGACACCCAGGAGTATTCAGTGAGATGTGAAATGGTGACCCGACCTAACAAAATGAGTCATAAGTCACCCGAACTACTTTAGAGGAAAAGGCTTTTTACAAATCGTGCACAATAGCAATCAGTGGCAAAAAGTCAGCATTTTTACTCACATATTAGCACATGTTAGTACATGTATATCAAAATAAGTGATGCATCAAATTGAAATGCAGAGCCTACCCTTTCTACAGGGTAAAAGACATTTTTTTTTTAAATGAAAAAGTAATCTAAGGACTCATTTAGTGCGATACATTCGCAATTAATGTTACCAGACCATGCCCGTCAAACGGTCTCATGAGCATTTTCATGACAACAAATCAAACAAACCAGACCATTCTCTTGTTGATGTTTTGATTTTTTTTATCACCACCGGTAGAAACAAGCAATTTGTCACCCACGGAGATATATAGGATAAATCTAGGTATAAATCTTGGAGTTAAAATTCGCGGCTCTGAGTATATGTATGGGATCGCAAACTCGCTATTAAAAACCGGACCGTGTTCCGGCCATACGGCTCGCCCAGTCACGACCGCGTATTTTTTCTAATCATCGCTCGCCTCAGCCCCTTGCCGTCGCATCCCGGGGTAAAAAAAAGAAATCGTTCGGCTAGGCCATTGATTGGAACTGTGCTCGATGTTTGCTGAATAAACTATGAGTAGTTGGGCTTGTATATAAATATTAGGACCATCGTTCATCTTATGTTTTATCGGGAGTGTGCTTTGATGTTTTTATGAGTTCCCGTGTGGAGAGAGTTTCTAGTCATGGAGGTTTTTATGAGTGGACTTAGCTTGCAACTTTCCCGGAAGTTGACAAGTGTTTGGAGAAAAATCGATAGAAACTCCGTGGGGGAGATCAAGGCTTCCGTGCCTGGTCATCATTAGATTATTTTGTTAATAAATTAATCGAGAAAAATTGTTCATTGTTCGATTACGTGATTGATTGGTCAAGTGATTGATTGACTGATGATTGATTAATCAAACGGCAGTTTTATCGATTGCCGACGAATGTAAGTGTTTAATTGATCGATCGATTTTGTGATTGATCGATCGAGTAACAGACCGAGTTATTGATAAGAGATTTATCAAATGATCGATTAATTGATATGACACAGTAAACGATTGATCGATTAATTAATGGATTGATTGGCTGATTGATGGATCGATAATTGATTGATTGATGGCAGGTAGCCGCGGTTCGAGCCCAGGAAGAGGAATCGGCCAACAGAATGGACGGGCAGACGGAGGAACAGTTAGCCCAGCACACCTCGGTGTACGAGACGTGTTACCAGCGAATGAGGACAGAACAACCGCCTAATGATGGTACGGGGCGCCAGTGAAAACCAATCAAGTTCACACAGAGGGTTAACACAACATCGCCCAGATAATCAATTACATAAGCAAAGTCGAAATCTATCGATGGCAAACCTTTATTTATGATGTGATGAATTTTCCGTGTCGAGGGAAACACACCCGAAGAGGTGAACGTGACATAATGCACCCTTTCTTTTTAAAATGTGATCACACCCCCACTACAAGTCAACGTACGATTTCTATTCCGCATAAAGCTAAGTGCCCCAAGAGGTGTAAATGAAAACTTTGATTACTGTTTATGGAACAGTGTACTGTCCAATATGGGGATCAAATCCCCAAAAATGATGTGGCAGCGGCTGAACTGCTATGGCAGTAACTTTCAGTGGGTCCTGTACCAAGAGCCTGTACTGGTTTCATATGCAACAATGCAGTTGTCCAGTCTAGACTCTCATTGGTTGATAATTGTTCTCATTGACAGGCCACGCCTACTGTAACATGACCTTTGACACCTGGGACTGCTGGAACTACACCCGCGCGTCGGAGACGCTAGTGCAGCCCTGCCCGGAATGGATACCCGATTCCGATCCGGCAAGTGAGTAGAAACCAAGATCCGATAAATACAGAACATTGATAAGCACATACATTTTCTAGGTACTGAAATTTACAAAGTAATAATACATGTAATAATGATAATAATAATAATAATATAATGGGTATTTATAAAGCGCACGTTTTCACCATTATTGGTGCTCAAGGCGCTACAGCATTATCGCCCCTGCTCATTCGGCCAATGAAACATTCCACATACCATCTCAGCTCCATGGGGAGTATACATTTCGATGCTGCCATTTCGGCGCAAAGCAGCTTAAATCAACCACAAACGGTTACCATTCAAAAGTCCATGTGATATATAACTGTACCTTTGACTGGTCCTCACTTTTTTTTTTCTTTTCTTTTTTTACATAAACACATACATTTACTATTAAGTGATATTTCCTGCTTCGTGACTAGATTATGAAATTGGGCCCAGATTCGAATGTGGCCCATGTGCTGACTCATAAGTTTTTGATCAAGGCAATGACGTTTTAAGAGTCGTGAATGTCATTTAAATATTTAGGAACATTCAGGAGTGCATATGAAGACACATAAGAAATAACCTTTTACGGTGTATCGACAAAGGCTGTGAAGCCGAGCTGCATGGGTTGAGCTCATGTCAAAGACTCAAACATTAATGTGCTTTCATTATCAACACAGGGGTTGACTAATTTGTCTAATGCACTGTCTTGCATATCAGAGCCGTCAAAATGAAAAGCAACGGTCACTGGTCAAAAGACATTGATGCCTCTAGTTATGACTTCTACTTGGGGTAACCCCCCCCCCCCTCCCCTTTTCCCGCAGAGACGGCGAGCAAGATTTGCATGTCGGACGGTACGTGGTTTCGACATCCGGAAACTAACGAAACCTGGACGAATTACACTCAGTGCATGTACCATGTCGAATTGGTAAGTCCACCCCCCCCCAAAAAAAAAAGAGAGAAAAGAATGAAATTAGTTTTGGAACGATTCCTTATGGTGGAAGTGCATTCTTGGAATATTCTTCCTTTCTGCCACTTGTGACACAAACTGTGATACTTCATTAGTTACCTTACTTTTGACGTTGACACTGACACTCTAATTCCCATTAATTGTAGACATATCGAATCTGTTAAATTTGTCCATCATCGGGCTCGTTCCAATGCTGCCCATCATTCTCTTTTTCACAGATTCCCTAGATTATGGGATGAACTACCGGCCTGCATTAAAGATACAATTATCCATAGTTTATCCTCCTTTACAAATTCTCTCAGAAATCATTTATTAGTCCCTGGCCAGGAGGTCCCCTTGACCAAAACAGTTTAAATTTCTAGTTGCCTTGCCCATTCAAATACCTTGCTGCTTGTTTTTTTTTCTCAATTTTATAGTGCCTTTTGCATTATAATTCACTCGAATCTCTCTTACCGAATCTGTATTTTTTAATGCCCATTTGTGCTTTTAAAGTTTTAACTGCTTGTATAGTTCTATATTCTTATACTGTAAGCCATGTTTTAATAATGTCCATTTGTAATGTCCTTTTGTATTGTCTCTTCTTAAATTGTGGCATCAGGAGATTAACTCGATAGTAATTTAGTTTACTTTTTTAAAATCCATCAGGGGTGCTACTTTTTTTTCTTCTCTTTTTCTTGTTCTCTCTCCTAACTGTATGTGCCTGTTTTTGTTTTCTTTACTGTTCTTATTGTCTGTTCTTGAATTTTTACCTGTGAAATTAATAAATGAAATGAAATGAAAAATACTTTAATACCATTTTAATCCGTCAAATCGTTTCCTTTAAGTTTAAAGAAACGACCCTTTTAAATATTTCCTTGGTTTAAATTTCATGAATTGTTTCCAAAACTGCTGAAAATATAAGGAAACCAACTTCTTCCTCGAGCCTTATTAACGTAATTTCTACTTTTAAAATCGTTTAAAATTTATATTTTCTTTATTTTTGTATTTGCAGGAAAGCAACATTCACTTTATCTATTACCTAGGCTATGGCTTGTCTGTCTTCTCGCTCTGCGTCGCGAGCTTCATCTTCTTCTACTTCAGGTACTTAAAAGTAATGTAATGAGTAACATTAAGGACACTTATTATGCATTGGTATGACGTCATTAATTTGAATATTCTGTAAGCCAATGGAATGAGGCTAAGGTCCACAGGAAAGCCTGAAATATCAAATAAATATTACGAATTCAAAGACTCGTATTACAAGTATATATTTTGCAATATTTTCAGGGCATGAAACTACATTGTATCAGAATTGCTAAACTGGCTTGAAGTACTCCAAAAAGCTTTTAAAACCAATCATCTTCAGCCTAATTTGAGGGTAATAGGTACAAATGTGCTCTTTAATGGCGTCACTTCACTTAGTTAAAAATCCATAGAATATTCTTAAGAGAAAAAAATGAAGGTTAGTATATCATCAATATGAACTAAACCATGTGTGGAGAGGTCGCATTTCAAATACTGAATGTAGATTAGTATGTACGTTTATATTGACTTAGGGTACCCCATATTCAATTTATACGTGGTGCGAATGTATGCAGACCAAATTATTTCGTGGCGACTAAAATTGGTACATACATTACTCTGGGACCTACACGCGCGTGAACTAATTAAAACTGCGGCCTTCGGGTGTGATCTTGTCTCGAAATATACCACGAGAACACGAGGGGCGAATCATTTAAAATGACGGGGGAGGGCAGACACCAAAGCGATGTTTTTTTCGTAGCTGGCCTCGTTAGGCGCTTGTATTGGATAGTGGATGAAGGAGACACCAAAATGTTTCTATAGAGGCTGCAGTGGTTTTCCAAGCAGACTAGTTTAATAAATTGCAGGAAAATCCTACATTAATATAAAATCAAATTTCCATACGAAAATAACCTTTCATGCAGCGATTATAAAACTGACCTTTTCACACACACACACACACAGCAGACACACACAAAGACTTTTCATGTAAACCATCACTATAGATATTCTATCCAAAAGACAAACCCAGCAATGGCATGGATCATGTATAAACTCGATTTATGTTTGTGGACAAACACATGGCTGTTTCGGCAAGTTGTTGTATTATTATGTCATGTTATAGACTGATAGGACATAGATTTGTATAAAGTTGCATAGTGACCAGTACCAATAGTTCCGTAGATATAAGCTTCCAAAAAAAAATCACCTTTAATGTGACGTCACATTTCATGTGATGACGTCATGATGACATCACTACAATTTGCATCTATAACACATCCCGGTCTAGGTACATACCAACTGTCAACCAAATCGGACATTTAGTTCTGTCCATATAAACCTTCAAAATATGCACCTTTAATTGTGAAAGATCGCTACCCTTTTGCTTCCGTTCGTCGTCGTAACTTGTTTTCCTTTTTCAATAATTACCAGGTAAAGATACCATTACATTCATAAACGATAACTGGTATACTGCACCTGCGCCCACTCAATTACACAGTACATGAACCTAGGAACCATACACCCAGATACCTAAATAATTTACGGCGGGTTGCATGAACGAACATTAAGCCTTAGCACATTATCGTTGCCGACATTAATGCCTTAAATATGCCAACGTTCTAACACTATTTGAAGAAGGTATTAAAATGTACTACATATTGCAGTCACGGGTCGCCATTAGTCACGTTTATAATGACAGGTGTTTATTTAAGCTCGTTCCTGATTATTATTTATGAATCTTTAACTATGCTGTTTATTTAAGGGATGGCTGTTTGGTTTGGGATGAAAAGCGTTACACGTAAATCTTTCGACGCCAAAATGTACAAACTCGTTAAAACGTGTGGTTGGGTTGTTGAGAAATTATTTGAATTTTCAACCTCTTAACCAAGTACGCATACAAACATATCATTCAAAAAGCAAGTTAATTATACAATAGTCACATATATTTCTTTCCCTCCCTTTAGGGGGCCATATTAATCATGGAGTGAAAAATATGAATTATGATCTTGCTTGGTATGGTTCTCAATAGCACAGAAATAATTGTAATGTTCGTAGTTTCAACTACATTTTAACCTTACTCACTAGAACGGCTATAGCCACGCCCCTAATAAGACAACTTTAATGCTGATTGGATACATTTCAAATATCTTGTAAACCGATGTGGTTGAATGTGGTTTAATGTAAAGAGGTCACGTGACTCTTACGTCATTTGTACGGGGACTTTATTTATGGCCATTGTTTTCTTATTCTGTCCTTTGTTTGCTCGCTGAGCCGTGCCAACAAAAATTCAGATCAAGATGCAAGTCCCGCCCCTTTGGCCCCTCCCCTCATCACCATTGGCTGCAATTGTTCTTACTTCTTCCCCTCCCTTCAGGAGCCTAGGGTGTCCCCGAGTGACCATACACAAGAATCTCTTCATCTCCTTCATTCTGTGCGGGATCGTGTGGATTCAGTGGTTTGCTCTGGTCACGCAGAACCCGGACCTCATCGCAGACAACCCCGTAAGTAGATCGACAGGGGGCGCTATTCGGTTTGGCCGAACACAAAAAAGTGACAAACGGTGAATGACCATATTACCCAAATCAAGTACGTAGGTTTGGCCGTTTCCGGGTTGAATAACCGCGGACGATTGAACATTTTCATTTCATCTTGATAAATCCATAAATACCCGAACTGGTTCGGCATAACTGTCCATTACTTTTTGGGAGCCAAAGGAAATGTTCGTTATAGCGGTGTTCGTTATAACGCTTTCCTATTGTGGCCGCCCTAATGCCTATCTCGAAGAAGGCTCACGGCTTGTGTAATTATAACAATCAGTAAGCATTTCACTAGCTGTTACTTTGCCGTCATTGAAGACGTGTGTATTACTTTAATTACATCATTTCTTGTTACACAGTCAGCAAGCTTCCCTTTTAGTATAGGTCTCATGTTATAGCACCTGATTTCTGTGCCATAGTATACTTAAAAATACATATTTATTTTTATGTTCTGTAAGACATGTCATACAGTTTGAGGTGCGCGGAGCTAAAAAAAAAAAAAATAAGTCAAGCAATGTTCAAGTTGTAAAACTAAAACTTTCCCAAAGTTGAATTCAATAAACTACGCTAATGTTAATCCTGCCCTGGAATGCAGGGTATGGTATAGCAGAGGGTGACTGCTCTGTGTTCCGACACCCCTATGTTCCCACACCCCTATGTTCCGACAACCGAAGTGTTACTCCCGGTTAGGGTTAGGGTTAGGGTTAGTGGATAGGGTTAGGGTTAGGGATAAGAATATGAGCAGTTGGCACATAGGTGTGTCGGAACATAGGTGTGTCGGAACATAGGTGGGTCGGAACATAGGTGGGTCGGAACATAGGTGGGTCGGAACATAGGTGGGTCGGAACATAGGTGGGTCGGAACATAGGTGGGTCGGAACATAGGTGGGTCGGAACATAGGTGGGTCGGAACATAGGTGGGTCGGAACATAGGTGGGTCGGAACAAAGGTGGGTCGGAACATAGGTGGGTCCGAACATAGGTGTGTAACGTAGCAGAGTGCTATGTGAGACTTAATAAGATCTGAATGTAATAATTAATCTCTCGCTGTTGGTTTTTCTTCCAGCCATTTTGTAAAGTCCTACTGGTGCTCGGTCAGTACTTTAACACCTGCAACTATTTCTGGATGCTCAGCGAGGGTCTGTACCTCCACACGGTGATTGTGGTGGCAGTGTTCTCAGAAAACCACCGACTGCACTGGTACTACATCATAGGATGGGGTGTGTATTAGTTAATGGTTACTGACTTTGGTCTTTTGAAAACAACAAGTGCCAGTGCACAATAAGCTCTGGCTGTCTTGCGTGAAAGTCTTGCATGAAATATATGATGTTTGAAACAGACCTATATGAACAGCGACCTCTATAGTCACATTGGCGTGTAGCTTGGGAGTTCCCCTTTCATATGCAACAACATACTTTAGATAGCGATCTGTTATAAATACCACGTGACTATAACATTAATGCACATATCTTGCCTCCATTTACAAACTTTTAATATAAATCGTTTCGAATTGTTACAATTTTTGTTAAGCATTTAATTGATTCTGTTTGCTTTTTTTAAATTAAAATTTGGTAGTTATCTTTTGTTGGAAACTTATGTGGCCTTATTTTGGTCAATTTTCCTGGGACAGACAGACAGACAGACCGACCGACCGACCGACCACCAAGTGACACTAGAAGCTCCTGCCAGATCTTAAAATTCACATGCGGTTCTCGTTCGTATTTTGTTTTTCTTCCGCAGTGTCCGTGCAATTATGACATTCAGGAATTGTCTTGTTGTCGTTTTGGAGGATCAAATTGAATTGTTCAGATTAAATTTTAAAAAAATAGTTTCCTATATACAAACTTTATATTTGCATAAGTCGTATTCGCCATGTACAGGTTTAGGTGTGATGTGGACATTATGGAGGGACAAAAATCGATTTCAGACAATTTGTTTGTCAAAAGATGTCGCACTAAGAATATTTGGTCGAATATTTTTATTAAAGTGTCCTCAATATCGTACAACGACTAAGAGTTTTTATAGCCTCAATTATTTTGTAGTTTTAATCAATTTTTTTTAAATTTCTTGCACAGGTCTTCCAGTGATTCCCGTTGCTATGTACACCGGCCTAATGGTGCACTTCAACACAGGATTGTAAGTACAAGAATCAGCTAAAAGTATCACTCTATTTTATCAGTCGATTACTAAAAGCTTAAGAAAGGTTCCAAACTTTTCTTCTTTGAATAAAAAAAGACCCCTAAGTACAGGTCTTCCAAAGATAGGATTCACAAGGTCAATAACCCTTTCGCCGTTTGAGGGCGCTGTGACAAGTTTGAGGGCGCCTTGAGGGCGCTGTAATGCTTATTAGCTACACTCTCTGCCCCTATAAAAATAATAAAAACTTCAACATTTACAAAAACTGTTTTCACCCCACAGGTGTTGGCTGCAAGCGAGTTCGTACGAGTGGTGCGTCGCTAGCTTTATAATTTTAGTCCTCGTTGTAAGTACTCGAGATTTCCCCATGTTTGTACTATTAAAAATAAAAGTTTTTATTTACAGGTTTTGAGACAGGAATTATCTGCTAACCAGATTAATTTTTTAATATAAAAAAAATTGTCGATGTTTTATTTTTAAGGTTTGTGTGACTTTGGTCTTTGGTTTTCATAAAAAACAAAATCTTGAATGTAGTAAGTCGAGACTAACCGAGATTTCCATTTTACTGCAGCATATTTTGTGAAATTCCATGTCAGGACGTAAATTTAAAAAGGCAGAAGCTTAATAGTTTAGATACAAATTCTGTTCCATTGTTACTTTTCATTCTGATCATTTCACTCTAGATAAACCTGGTGTTACTGTTGAACATCGTGCGAGTGTTGGTCACCAAACTACGGGCAACGCCCGCGTCAGGTTCGGGGAGTACTTACACGTAAGTAGTCCATATAACTTCTTAACAAATTTCGACAACAATTCAGTTTTCGCAGGGTAGACTGGTTTCCGCCCTGTATCAGGCTCAATAATGCACTGAGGAACCGGGAACCAGTCTACTCGCAGGTGAATCTGTTTGGTTGTGTAAAACGAGCCCCCCCCCCCCCAAGAAAAAATCCTTCTTGTCGGAGGGCCAGACGCATATCAAAGGAAAAGTACATGTAGTACTTTCTTTTAAACTTTGTCAGGAGAATTGTGTCGATTTACTGCAAAACTGAAAGAAGGCCTTATTCTTTTTTTAAAAAACCTGAAATAATTGGAAGGTTTTTTTAAGTTCTGGCTTGAGCTTCTACATGTCACTTGGTGGTCGGTCGGTCGGTCTATCTGTCTGTCTGTCCCCGAAAATTGACCAAAAGTATGGGGCTCAATACGTCACATTTTTCGTCGTCGCAATTTTAAGATCTGGTAGGGATCATTTTGATCGATTTCATGCAAGACTTTCATGCATGACTTCTTGCAACACGGCCAGAACTTATTGTACACACAGTCGTGAATTTCTATACGCCCGAGGACAATGCTTTGTTTTTCTCTTTGTCCCTGTAATATAACACTCTACCATAGACTAAGCACATAACCGTACGATCGGGGACCGTTTTCAACAAAAGACCCAACGCTCGAGGACTGAAATGATTTTTGTCTCCATTTGTGTAAGCTGTACATGTTCACTTTTGTTTTTTTTGTCTTATCCCTGTCTCTAGGAGAGCGGTCCGAGCCACCCTCATCCTTCTTCCACTTCTTGGATTGCATTACCTCATCTTTCCCGTTAGGCCTGCCAACGGTTCGGTAGCCGAGGCCTTCTATGAATACTTCATGGCAATCTTGTTGTCATTTCAGGTGAATATCACACCACATATCAATGGTTCTCATATTTTTTTTTTAATTCCGCAAACTGGTTTTGGAGAGAGAGAGAAAACAACGAACTCACGCGCGAGTTTAAAACGCAAGGCGATCGAATGGTGAGGTTGTATTTGTGGATTATAACCACTACAGTTGCGTTTTGTACCTACGGTGTTCGCTAGAGGGCGCCACACAGACATTTTGAATGACGTTTTGTATGTTTCTTTTGTATGATCGCAAAAAGAAAAGATTGTAAAAACATAAACGCAGACTTGAATGACTCGTGACTCGGGACTCGACCAAAATTACCACAAATCACTTATTTTTTCAAAAATATATTTGCAAATTAGTTTGAAGACAATCCTCTCCTGAGCAAGTGATACAGTCAGTGCGGTGCAGGCGAAACGCATACTACTGTACACAAACAGCGCGTGCGGCTGACTTGTTTCCGATTATTGATTTGCGAAATCAATGTATCAAAACATAATACCCCAGCATCTACACTTGATATTGCGAAAATGCAAACTGATAGTGTTTGGCTAGATTGTCCTTTCCATACACGGGTGCTTTGCCTTAATTGACATGTTACACATGTATTTCCAGTTCATTAAATTAGAGAAAAGCTGTGTGAACTAAAAATAGAAACATTTAAACTGTGAGGTTTTAGCAGTACCTCAAAATGTATTTTATTAGAGGTGACTCGTGATTCGGACTCGGACTCGACCTTTGTGACTTGCGACTCAGATTCGGACAAGACCTGCATGACTCGGACTCGGGAGAGGTGATTCGGACTCGGACTCGATATTTGGTGACCTGAACACAACTATGCATAAACGTCAAGCAACAGCCGTCTGTTTTTGCTCTCAAACTCGCGTGGCTACAGCGCCCTCAAGAATAACGCCTATTGATATTGATTACAATTTCGTTTTCGTGGTTTGTATTTCTTTGTTTCCAGGGCTTCTTTGTCGCCTGCATATTCTGTTTCTTCAACGGTGAGGTAATGACAAAGATTCGTAGACGCTTGAATAATATTACACTGAGGCAAACCTCTTGCTCTTCGGCCGGCCGCCCGCGTCAGACCAAAGTTAGTCGCTGATTGGGTAACTGCTCGTCACGTGGTCGGTGTCAGTCGTTTGACGTCACAGCATTTCGTTGTGTGTGTGTATTAAACAGCCAAACCCACTCTAAGCACATTAAATTTCTCCTGCACTGGTTCACTTGCACTATTTTCTGTTTGAACTGTTCCCATGTGAGAATGTTTCACTTTTTTTCTCTCTTTTTTTCACCCCTTGCTTTGGAAACTTTTGTTACTTTTGCATGCAAGCACATCATCTTTAACGGTGTTTCTAATACACTTATTAACTCGATTAATTTTTTAAAATATTTCAAATAGAGATCGTATTGAGCAAAACATTCGAATTTATTTTCTTTTTGCATGCATTCATGCACCATTCAACTGGGAGAGCGGTCATTCACAAGGTAGTAGTTTTGGTTAATTTCAACATTAAAACACAGCCTTTCAATTAAAAATCTGAGAACAAACTCTTCAATTAATATACATGTATTTTGACAGAGAAAATGTCAAGGAATATTTTTTCTAAAAACTTGGCAAATTGGTAAAGATATTTTTTTTTCACACAAAAACGTGTAATTGAAAAGAATTGTCTCACAAAGACACTTGCTTCCGCTCTATATGTGCATGATGCAACGGGCAGCAAGTTTCGCTTCTTTTTCCTTTACATTTTGGCCGATGAATTTTATTCACAATTACTGTTGGTGAGCGGAATGGCACTGCAGGTGTACGTGTATGAAAGAATACAATTCCAGTCGATTGACAAAACATTCTCGCATGCGGACTGAATTGCTGAACATTCTGACACTTCGATTCTTTTCTGCAACAAATCTTTTTTGGTGCTTTTAAACACCAGCAACACAAACGACTGGCACTATGATATCATATGAGGGCGTCCTTCCCCTAAAGCGGCGCGAATTCTTTTTTTTCCCTGCGAAGCGCGCGTTTACCCACACAAACTGCAAGGACACATGTTTCAAACGACACAACTTACAAAGCGGCCATTTTGAGAAAGTAAGCGTAAATAGTTTTAATATACATTTTTCATGGGTGTTTTTCCCCCATTATTTAATTAAGGAAAACTTATTTATATATGAAAACGAAAACGAAGTTTAATACTTAACACTACGCAAAATATTAACAGGTTTTTCAGCCAATGTGTACTTTAAACTCCTGAGTGCATTTTACGGTAGTGCTGTTGGGCAATTGTTTGCGAATTCCTAAAACTTGATCTTGATCAATTTTGAAATGAAAAGTAGCCATTGAAAGATTAGTATTTGCTGTATGCACGAAGCATTCCTGAAGCAAACTAATACTGCCGCTTGAATAGTTATTCCAAAACGCCACACCACAAAAAGGATTGGCCGTTATGGCAAGTCTAGTTTCCATTTTGGCCGCATAGCAAAACCATAGTCTTGTGGCACTTGTGTGCACCAGTATCCATGTTTACGTTTTATTTACATTTTACATCATAATCATCACATTACAATCAAGTCATGATATGAGAAATAGGTACAACATGGCACAAAGAACTTAGAATCACAACAAAAAAACCGTTTTGTTTCTCATGACTATAAGAAAATATAATATGATTTCATTTATTTCTTTCTGGAAATATAACTGTTTTACTGATTGATATTTTCCCATGAATTTAAGTCTATTTGCTGAGTGTTTGAGATCTCCCCTTTTCACAGGTAAAAATGCAAATTCGACGCAAATGGTACTCATATCGCTGGGGGCACAGAGGGAGTGTGTTCGGCGGTCGGTACGGCAACATGAACACGACAATAACCGAGACAGTGTCGACCATGTCCCCCAACGACAGACGGAGTATGGACAAAGGGCAGAACAGCCCGCTGCTGAACAAAGCGCCCCCTGCCGCCCAGAATAGCCTGGGGAACGGTAAGACGGTGCGCTCTTCCGGGGGTCGAGAGATCGTAACCGACGTGGACGATACGAAGGACCAAGGGGAGCTTGACTCAAGCCCCAGCCCCCGGGAGACTTACAGCCTTGAGAACAATAGCAGTTGGGACTGCAACGCGAACCCAGAACAAGATGTCTGCCCGAGCATACTGATCGAAGACCACGACGAACAATCGTCCAAGACGACGGAGGTCTGACGAGAAGACGCGAGACTTTAAAAATATATAATTGTATAGAAAAACGGCAGCTATACGACTTGGAACTGTAAATATTTTGAGTGGTGCGAAAAAAAGATCTCTTATGGCGTTGTTGTATAAATGTACTTCTTCGCTTCTCTGGAATGATCAAATATGGAGAAATGCTGCATCGTTGTCATGGATACCATTAAGACAAACTGCTAGTCGGAACTTCCAAACAATTTCGAAACATGGCTACCGGGTTTCTCTGCATTATGAAGTTAAAAACCCAAAACCTTGTCTCGTCCAAAAAAAACGAACTGTGATCGTGAGTTGACAGAACAGAAAGCGACTGAAACCGAGGCAAGTTTGAAACAACGTGCAGTCAGAAGAATCCAAACTTTCGTGAAGTAATATCTCAGTGGATGTCTATAGACCCGTATTTAGTGGAAGAAAAAAAATGTATAGTGGATGACTTTTTCTGGCCTTGAAAAGAGGCTATTGTGTATCATTCTCTATAGCTGCATTGTAGCATACAGGAAAAAGTATTTTCAATTGAATAATATAATATTGCCTTATTAATATTATAGATGTTACCAATGCAGAATGATTTAAGTCTATTATGACAGTGTTTTTGGGAACTGTTCTAAGTTCACGAGACAATTTCACGAAACAATGTGAGGTAAAACATTAATCAAACCTCAAGCAATAGGTTGCAGGTAAAATAGATCGATACAATGTAGGAGGTTGCTTTTGGAGCACGGGTAACCCCAGACTGGGACATTGCGTGCAAAAAAACATGCAAAAGAAAATCAGGCCAACTTTACTTACTCTTTAGCTGGCAAAATTCTCCAAAATTTTCATGAGGCAAAGACAAGGTCCTCAGTATTTCACCAGCAAAGTTTGAGGTCTCAGTTCAATTTTGGAAGGAGACTTTTCTTTAACAATGTGCACCTGAGAGTGATGCCAAGTGATTTCAATTTGAAGCCTAAGACTAGACTGGTACATGTCAACTTTTTGAGCAGATTGACCCTTCAGTAGTCTGGTAGCATGACTTTGGAAATGTGTAGAAATGGAGACTGGGTACCAGACACAGTTGGCTGATGCAGTATTAAAAGAGAATGGACTGGTTGTTTTATGTGCCAGTCTATTTTCTTGTAGTGCATGTCTTCACTATCTTAACTTTTGGGACTCTCATACACAGTATTGAGAGTCCCAAATTTTCGGACTAGTGTCACCCTGGAAAGAATGTTGCATCCTGACGCTACTTTTGAAACAGAAAAAAAAAGACATTTTGGGGGGCTTACATTGTACCTCAGAGTATACTTTCATGTGAGAACTGTAAGGAATATGTTGACAAAGTTTTTAAAAGAGATTTGTAGGCGAATGTGTGGTCAACTTAGTGAATGTTTACATGTCACTACAATCATGTTGAAGCCCTCAACCGACGCGTGACATGTTCATATTCACTAAGTTGGCCACACATTCGCCTACAAATCTCTCTTAAAAACTTCATCAAAATATTCCTTACAGTTCTCATATGAAACGGTATACTCTCTGAGGTACGAGATAAGCAAACGAAAATGTCTTTTTTCTGTTTCGAAAGTAGCGTCAGGTTGCAACATTTTTACCGTAACGCTCTTTACAACTTTGTGAATTTCCAGAACCTTTGGTTATATTTCATATCTCGTTTGCATCACACGTAAATTATTTAAAGAAGTACAGTTTTATTCTGTACGGTAGGCCTACTTAGTGCTTTTCGTGTACATGTTACATAGAGAAAGCCGAGCTAAGTTATATATTAGAAATCAATGTGAAGAAAAACGAACTCACCAATTTTGGCCAATGTAGGAGGAGTATCCTTGGAAAAATATCAGCTCAGTATAGAAGCAGTATATCCAGAACTCGGTCAGAAAGTTCTACGTGTTGCTATAGCATATCCTCAACCAGTGTACTGAGTGAGAGATGCAGTTGCAGTGCTCGCATTGTTTCCAGGAATGTCTGCCATTGAACGTTCCGCCGATGCAATGTAACAAAAATCTTTGGATGCTTGCCATTTTTCTCATGCAGTATCGGGCCTGTACGACACGTTGTTCACAATGCTCAACTCTCACTCAAGCGTCATGTCCCGTGGAAAAGATTTGCCATGCCTTATAGAAGGCTTACCGTTTGACGAAAGTATTCACACACTGTACATTGTTGAACACATGTGTGAAGTTGTTGAAATGGTTTTCGATGCGGAAAATGGTTAACTTAACTGACCAAAAGTACCATATTCACCACTTTTGGCGCGCGACACAAAAACCCGCTTGGTACCAGTTGCTTTGCGGACAGCAGTAGGCCGGTTACCAGTGATCCCGTGGTAATAACGTGACCTATGACCGCGGGTGTTTACAAGTAGGCTCGTTCATCTTTTTAAATCCATACCTAACCGAAACTCAACTTATGCATCCTTATTCTTGTTTTCGACAATCAACGAAAATAATGTAGAAGTCGAATTGATTTCCCCATTTTTAAAAATAGAAATAATGGATAATATTTAATGTGTAAATAATGCATTTATTTTATATTTCGAGTAAACGTAGTTTCCTTGATCACAACTGTGTTGATTTTAAAAATTCCAAATCAATTATGCTAATTATGTGGTGCTTTTGATATAGAGTTGAGTTGGGACAGCAATTGTAGGGTTAAATTATATGCGAATTATATACTGGATACCAATAAAAATTGAAAGATACATTCAAGTTACCACAATGAACTGCTGATAGCGTTGATAGAACATTTGTGATGCGTATATGAACTCGGTAGGTATAGGATACCTTTCAACACTATTGCAACCAAAAAAGTATACGAATGGATTCTATTATTATTTTTTTTTTTTACTGAACATAGAGCAGTTGAACAGATAGATATTACAGTGGATATAAAGACGTTTAATTTGTTTCACTGTTGTGTTAATCTTTGTAAAAAAAAAAAGGTAAATCGCTTGTGGTGTACGGAACTCTTTTGATGTAAACAAGACTTAAGGTAATTTAAATGTACAGAAAATACTCGTTTAAAATTAACACTTTTGTAAATCTTGTAAAGACTTTTAAGTTTCAAAGTTCCGATTAACGCCTTTCACGATCCTTTTCTTCCTCTTGGGTTTAGTAAATTTCTAATCATGCATGGCAGTCTTTTTATTCTTTTTAATATCGGAGGGTTACTTAAATTAAAGTGATTTTTAGAGGCAAATCAAATTTAGTTAACTATACTACAAATCTCGGTCAGCGTGCTTCACTTTAGATAAAACAATAGTAAATAAGCACGCTTTAGAAAGGTGTACGATTTTTTAAATTTCTTTTTAATCTCTTCGTCAAGACATTTTTTTATATTTTGGTGTGCATTTGTATGTGTATTGTGTCTTGCGAAAGCTTGCGTCTTTACAATTTCCTTAACTCGATGAAGTGATCGAGACGTAGAAATGTATCTCAATGAATTGGATAAAAGAAGAAACTCAGAATTGTTTTGGGTGTAAATTTCAGTTTTGTAGATTAACCAAATTATCACGTGCATGTTAACAATACCAGTCGTTCATTATATGGATTATTCATTAAACATGCGTACCTAGTGATTTTTACAATCATGCGAAGTCCTTTGTGTGGTTCATTTTCGGTGTTGTTCATATGCGCATGAAAGGACTTAAAAGACATCATTAGGGTGCAAGTGCGCCCCCTAGCGGCAGCTGCGGGAATCAGGTGGGAGTGTTTGTTTTGGAGAAGTACCTGAGACAAATTCGTAGTCGATAGAGTTTAAAAATGTGCACACGTCATCACTCCTAGTGTATCACGACGTGTTAAGGAAACTCTATAGGATTGTTTTTTTTTTTGCCTTCGGCTAGCTATCCAAACTTACCAAAAGTTGCCACTTTCATTAAAGATCTCCCGACAGTGAAGAAGAACAAGACAACGCTCTAACAAACCTTTTCAGGCAATTCAGTGTAGACAAACTGAAGTAAATATCAACTTTTATTTCTCCAACGCTTTTAACAAATACATGTGACGCATGTCATCACAATTAGGTATTTACAGAACAAAAATAACACTGTTTGGCGTGTTACTACATGTATACGTGCTTAATAAAAGTCTGCTCACAAGCAATTTGGTATGGCAGTTTGGCTGATGACTAGCTTTTGCCGAGTAAATATTTTGTTGTGCCAAATTAACGAAATAGAGTTCCTTGCAGCTACGTGACATTTTCCCCTGGCTGATGGGCGCCAATAGATGGAGAAAACTGACAAGCGGACTCAAAACAAATAAAAAAAAACATCAAATATTCTTTCAGGAAACATTTGAATTGGGTGCCGGTGATCCGTAGCCCACATTTAGTAGTAGGCCTTCAGAACCATTTGTGATCCAGCACAAAATGATCCGGGAATTGAGCTGTAAAATTCAATGAATAAAGAACCCTAAAATCTAAAAAAAAAAAAAAATACCAACGAAACTTTATACGTCAACCCAAACTTGCTAACGTGAAATAACCAATTTTGTTTTACCACAAGTGGACAGAATTCTAAATTACTGCTGGTATATAATTCCTCAGCAACTGCAGATTTGGTCCTTTCAACAATTAATTTAAATACAGATTTGTTTTTCCCGCTCAAACATTATAATATAATTATTTTGATTTAATTCGAAGAATGTGTGGGCATTACTCCTTCCAGCGTGGATTCAAAACCCCAGTACGAGTCTGGTGCCTCTTTAAGTTCCAATTCTTATACTCCCGCTCCACAGAGCGTGTAAGTCTCCAGACTCGACGTTCTCGTCCCGGTGAACGTCTGGGTGCTAGACTAACACGTCTATAATGCTGTGTTGGCAGCAAAGGCTTCCATCCTTTTAAATTTTTCTCTTTCACAAAAATCCACATTTCTCTTTCAGCTCCGGATGACTTTCATCTGCCTTTCTCATCATCTTTCTCACCTTCCTTTCCATCAGTCCCAACACTTCAACTCACAGTTTGAACTAAGGCAAACCTTTCTTTCTCCTGAATTAAGGTTTTAGATTCAATGTCTGGCCAGATTTGAGAAACGCGGAAGCTAATTATCATATAAATAAAATAAAGAATAACAAAATGGACCCAGTACATATACAATTCCTTTTAAATTTAACATTGGGACACCAGACCCCATTGTCAAAACTCAGTCAAATCAGGTTTGGCAATCAGATGAGGTTGTATGCATGCGCACGGACTTGAAGGAAACAACTTAGCAAACCAACTTCAAGTATGACATTTTGGCCTGCCTTTCTCAAACCCCAGTGAACATACAGGGTGGTGCAAAAAGAAGGAAACCCACTTTTGACAGGAATTGTCACGTACTTGATGAGCATATGTCAAAAATGTAATCTAATAAATTTAAAATATTGGTCGTTAAACATTAGTGACGACAAATCGATTGCAAATGCATAGTTTGTCTCTGAGTTGTAGTAGTTTAAAACTGTCATGTGCCAAACTTGTTTGTCCACGGCATGGACGGCTTTATTCCATCCGCTTGACTGAGCTCCGGAGCTTGATTTGAAGACAAAAAAACACTACACTAGACTTACACGTTGACAGCAGTGATTTCGTTGACTGGTATTCAAATAAGCATAAAATAAACACACTATTTTTGACATTCTTTTGAAGATATTTTTTCACATCGTATGGTTGAAGAGATATACATCACTACATTATAAAAAAAAAAACCGGTTCAAACAAGTTAAGTAAGTAGGTTAATATTGCTGTCAAAAGAGGTTTTCCTTCTTTTTGCACCACCTGTATTAATACTCGCATTCTTATACTATTGCTACATTGCAAAAACTCTAGTGTTAAATTTACACCATTGGTATCTATATAGGAACATCTGGTGTTAAATTTTACTGGTGTTGTCCTATATAGATACCGAATGGTGTTAAATTAATACTACAGTTTTTGCAGTGTACCACACCTTTTCCAACATCCTTTCTCTCCGAGTCTTACTCGCCCCTTTTCACATATTTTCTTTCACTTTTTTCTTATTCAGCCAATGAAGGTACCCCTGTCATATCTTTGTACATCTCTTCGTGTACTTCAAATCAGACAATACAAACTATACAGCACTGAAGTTGATAGGTTATGATATCATTTACATAATTTACACAATAGACGCGCGCCGTATGTACTTCTATGTACAGATTGAATTACCTTAATTGTGCCTGTTGATAATGTACATATGTTTAGAATATTTTCATAGTGTGCTCTTCGTGTTTTTACAATAAATCGTGACAAATGAAGTAAAAGAAATCAATGAATAAATGTCTTTAAATATAAGTTAAATGCGTATAAATGTTTACATTATGAACACTTGTTCTTGGACAGTACTTGCCATTCGAGACACGATAATAAAACTGACTCAATTTTAAATGTCTCGATAAAATACCACTAATCAATCCCTTCGTTTCAAGATAAAAATATAAATTGGAATCAGCCAGTTGTGAGTGGTTGAACAAAGGTTCAATAAACGGTCACGTGTACAAGGAAATCATGTACTTTCGTATCGCGAGAGGGCGCTATTTTGTCTCACCCGGCTCACAAAGATCGATTTAGTATGCTTTTAGTTTTCAAGATAAGCTTTCAATTAATTTACATATAAAACACAAAATGGTGTGTATTTTGATCTTATTTATATTGTGAATAAACCTATTTAATTGAAGAGGCACACATGCCGCATGCAATGGCTAGGCCTGATATCTTCTTTGAAATGTGCAATTTACACACGAGCGACTCGTTAATTTCTCCAAGGAAAAACACTGGGAAAAGGTTTTACAAGTTAAGGTAAGGCTCGATCGTATGCACAGACTTCGAGGCTTTTCACAACAATGCCCACACCAAGCCTATCACAAACAATTAAGGTGTAGGCCTATATAACTTCAATAAAAGTTTCAAACAAGCAATAGGGCCTAACATTTTCAATTTTGAGATAGGAGTAACAAGCAATGAATTAAGTGCCCCAAAAGACCAGATTTAGGCCTACAGATCGTGGGAATAATTGTGTCTGTTACTCCGTCTGTGCAACATGTCTCTGCAACCATGTTTCAGAGCTTCTATAGTGATAGTCATAACAGCTGCCTTGGAATGTGCGAGTAGGCTTACACGGTAGCCATGTTGAAGGGCGCCCTCTGCGAAGGGCGCCCTCAGCGAAGGACGCCCCAGCGGCGAGCTCCATACTTTAAAAGGGCGCCCTCAGCGCTCGACGCTCTCCGTGAAGGGCTTCATCTCTTGGGACAGCTGGTCGATGGACGTGGAGCCCTGGACGTTCTTGCGGAAGGTCACGACCTCAGACGTCGCCATGACGCAGGAGCCGTTGGTGTGGGTCCGCCGGCGACTGGAGCTGCCGAACTTGTACCGGCTCTTCGCGATCCGCCGCCGGATGGCCATCTGAACCTGAAAGGGTACATCAAAAAATGAAAACTCCTAAACCTCAATTTCTATAGCTGCGGATAACAGTCCAACAAATCGTCATGTCTCTCCGTTAGTTAGTAACAAACGTTGACATTGTCTGTTGCTGCTTCAAATTCTGACTGATTTCAACCAAACTTTGTCAAAAGCATCCGAGCCCCAACATATCACATGACCAAACTGGGGTCAAAGGTCATCATTGGGTCAAGGTCAAAATAACGTCATATTACAAATAAGCTCAAATGACAAAAGTAGCGCTGTCAACATGTTGGCCTTGGTCAAACATTGGAAACTGTCCATGGTGACCTCTTCGTCTGACCTATAGTTATGGGGTCAAAGGTTAAAATAGGTTACATGGCACAATTAATCACGTGACTCACAAATGAAAACAATTTCGTTGGCCCCCAGCTTCCGAGATCATGTCACGCTTGTTCTCCGCTGCAAAGTGACTTGGGACCTTTTTCATGATGAGCTGGGAACTTGGTTCTATGCAAGCTGGTGCATGGTTGAATCCATTTTTGACAATGATATCCTCAACCACAGTATTATACAAAGACAGAGTTCCCACTGACAAACTGCTCCCAGCTCAGAGACCATTGTTGAGTGGAAGGCTTGTTACCTCATTGTTGGTTAGTTTGGGTAAAAATTGACCAACTATCGGGAGGAATTTGCCCAAGTGTGTAGGCAGTTGCATGGTATGTTGACCAACATTGGACAAAATATGAACCCAACTTTTGCATTAATTTTGCCCAACTTTATTTACAGTGTTGAATGTGGACTCCGTGCTTTATAAACAATTGTGAAAATAACCGGCCAAGTGTATTCGAGGCACCTAGATAGAAAGGTGTCGATTCATGGTGACATTAGTGAAATATTTTGTTTATCAAACAAATCCACTTGGTAAGAAAATCCCGATAAGTTTGATATTGATAATAAACAGGAAAGAAAACTCACCTCCTGGTTCATGAAGCAATAAATAACAGCAACGAATACGCCCTGCAGAAAAGAAATCGTCAAAAATATGGTCAAAATGATAAGAAAGTGTTTATTGGGAAGTGTTCAAGATATTTAGCTGGTTGTCAGGGGTTTAAAACCTAACGGGTACTGTGAAAGCTTGATGAATGAAAACGACACCACGTTGACTCGTGAAAGAATTTGGTTTATTTTACTGAATACTTCATCTGCCTGTCTTCCCAAACAACTGCGCATGTGCGACAGGTCAAAGGTCAGATTGCAGGTTGCCAAAAGACCAAGTTACCTGTCCAGACTGCAGCACGGCATTCACGGTGTGGTACATCTTCTCGGAAACACCGCCCTCACTCGGCACTTCCCATATGTAAATTAGATAGGTCAGGCCGAGCAACGGAAAGAGCACAGCCACCGCTTTGACAGATTTCCTGAAAAATTAGAAAAAAAGTGAAAAAGTATAACAATTTGATAATTTGCTTTTTGTTTTAAAATTTAAACGATTCCTGATGGCGAAAAACAGCCAGAAACCTTTTATCCCCCACTAGTTTCTTTCACCAGTATTTAATTCGTTTAATGTATTTTTTCTCCATTCCATAGATATTCGAAAAAGGCCTTCTGTTGTAGCTCACTCCGAGCTAATCAAAACTAATATTGGTCATTTTTTCCCTCTGAATTCCAAAATCTGGATTAGGGAGAGATGAAGGATCGTTAGTAACAAAACATTTGTATTTCTAAAATAGTTGTGCACTAGCCCTACCTAGCGCAAAGAAATTCAGGTGCAACACGATATTTTTTTCGGATGTAGCTGAGGTCACATTGTCCGCTGTTCGTCAATTTGGGGCATTTGTTGGACACTGGATCTTAAAACGCCCTCTGGCGGTGGGAATGAAACCGCATCAGGTTTTCAATAAACACGGAGGATTGGAGAACATAGATCGAATGGGCTCAGCACGGCGATGTATTCACGTTTCATGTTTATGCTCGAACTTAGCCCGTTAATACAATCTCAAAATCCAAGCCGACTTTCAAATTTAGCAAGAATTCCGCAAACTTTCAATGGCGGGAAAATTGTGGCAGGAAACGAAAAGCACGGCATGTTGTCGTGATGATGCAGTAAGCACGATTGTGGCAACATTATTCCCGCCAAAATGTCTCACGCGGGAAATGCTTCATGTTCAAGTCGCACTGCAGCATGCACGAATCAAGATTGGTTTTTGGAAAATTCCGTAGGGACATTACTAGCTCAGGACTCTCTTCCTGAAACGCCCAGGATATTGAGAGGCCCCAACAATGTTAAGGGAGAAAATAAAGGCGGGTATAGCGGGGAGGGAAGAAAAGGGACAGAAATGTGAGCGAGGGTGGCGAGGTGTGCACGAGGGGGAAATCGATGCTTAGGCTCGGGTTACCTCATCTGCGCTGTCTCGACCGTGACACTAGCTCGGAGTTTGGTGACCAGGATTCTGATGATATTGATCAAGAAGAAAGAATTCACCTGTGTTTGGAGATAGAAAGAGAGACCGTCAGAATGAAAAGACCTTGGTGTTGAGGAAGAAAAGAAGAAAACTGAATTGACTGGGACACGGGATCGGTGAGTAATTAATTGAATGATGCCGCTACGGCTTGCTTAAACACTGGAGTGGGTTCAAGATCCAAGCTAGCCTGGTTCTTCTGGCGAGCATGCTCCGGCTCTAGCCTTAAACACTCGCAAAAAAGATGTAGACCATGGCACAGGCTAAGAAAATGTCACGTATAGGGTGAGCGGTTGACCAAGTGCCCATATCTACCGAGACATAGATGGGGTAACTATTGAACGGGTTGCACTGGCAGATAACATGAATATCTGTAATTGTCGGGACTGATGGAGGCGGACGAACCTGGCATTTTGAGTTGGGAAGCGAAACCATATACCGTACCGGTCAGTACTTTTTTTTTTAAAGGTAGAGTATGAGCTTTAGCTCAGTGAATGCTGTATATTCCAAGAAAACAATATTCTAGGATCTCGATTTCAATTCAAAAGTTGCAGAGTCATGTTTGGAATTGCGCCCGAAATCAGCGTCCGGGACACGTTCTCATTCAGCCGATTGCTTTAAAAGAAATCTAAACGTTACTAATATAAAGCCATGGTCGATTGACAAAAACAAAATCTCACAGGAGATCTATAAAATTAGGACATATTTCCATGTTTTCTCATGGACACAGAAGAAATCCCAGCAACAATTCTGCATTCTGCGGATTTTGGAGAAGGGGAAAAATGAAGTGGAGTTCTATTTTACGAACCAAGATGGCGACGATCATGGGTACGCGTATCAGCCATATGTAGGGTAGAGTGTGGTAGTCATCCCAACAGGGACTGGGGTCGAAGATTACCATCAGAACCACCCAGCCGTTGGTAAAGAACAATGGTGAGCCTATGAAAGAAAGTAAAGACAATGAAACATGTAATAATTACTAAGAAATCAGAACAAGTTAAAGGGCCTTTGCAATGTATTTTTGTTTAAATGCAATTCTAGAAAATGTACCCTTGTGTACCATTTACCCCTATTTTCAATTTTCTTTTTGCCATTTTCAAGGGTATTTTGGTACCTTTTTGGTTTCATGCTGATGACAATTTCCATCTTCATGAGCAAAAGTGTGATGTCATTTCAGGCAGAAACATCTGATTTTACAGATTTTTTTTCAGCATCAAAAGTTGCCAGAATTTTGGATATTTCGCTGTCGTAGATTTTCTTTTTTTCTTTGGTGATTCGTTGTTGTGTCAGTACATGGCAGTAAGCCAATGAGCAAACTTTTCTCACAGATGTTTTCAATAAGCAAATTTTTGGGTTCACAATTTGAACGGAATAAATGCTTAAAGAAGTGCACTTTTCAATAAAATTAACCAAAAAGGGATGTCAAATGTTTCCATACATTTAAGAATAGTAGTAAGTTGCACAAAATGTGAATAAATATTATTGAACCAGAAGTAATCTTTGGTTTCATTACCAAAAAATAAATACTACTACTTATAATAAAAATCGAATATATATATCCATCAAGATTTCAGAGGTTTTCTCCAACAGGCTCTGAGACGTTATAATTGTTATATCGAGGTTCTCGTAATTGTGGTACAACCCTCAGCAAGGCTAAGCTTTGAACACTTGGTGGCGTATTTTGAGCACGTATAGCTGCCATTTCCTTGCCATCAATAACAAGTCAGATACAACCTCGAATGCCCAATTCGATCCCACGACGACTTTACAGACAGAGAGAGAAAAAAAAAGTGCGCTTGCCCTCAGCCATACACACAGGTAGGCCTACACCGTGGGACTGTCAGGATAGCTAATGACCATCGGCAGTTTGAGGGTTTAAAATTCAATTAATGGATAACTTAACTGTCCACCGGGGGAAAATGAAGCTGTAAATGATGTGATTATTCAAGACGACAGAACGCTCGCAGGTATTGGTTAACCCGGGGCATCATCAATAATTGCTATTGTCCATTAACTGTGCTGACAGAGGGCGCTGTCAAAAATACCCCAAAAGCTATTCAAATAATTATTCGATAGTGTCCAGCAATAAGGAAAATTCATTGATCGTTTATAGGCGTTTTGTTTTTCAGTGCAATTCACTGCGACGCAAATATGAACGGAGTAGATCTGTTTTTGATGTGTCTTTCAACGTGATGGGACTCATTAGCGTATTACTGATATTAATTCCCTCAAAGGTGTGTTCCCAGTCGTTGAAGGTAACACAAACAGTAACGCTCACAGCCGTTTGTGGTAACACATAAAAAGGCGTTCACAGCCTAAGGCGCCTGACACCATTATGCGGCATTAACTGTTCTTAAACGTTTCGTAAACGTTCGTTAACGTTTCTCACCCCATCCAATGAAGAAGTACAACTTGAAGTTGGACTCGTTGCTGAAGACGGCAACGGCGATGCGAGTGGTCAGAAACAGTCCCTCCACGAACATCCAGAAGATGTTGGCCATTGAGAAATACTCCAGGAGGACCTTGAGCAGACGACACAGGGCAACCTGCCAAAAAAATATTGGCGGGAAAAAAGGCAATCCCTCAATGTTAATTGTGTGTTAGTTAAAAAAAAAAGTCAAGCCAGAGAGCATCGCTTAGAACATGTGCTAGCTAAGCAAAAGTCAACAGGGAACCAGCCATAACAGTGTTTGCCAAATTGCGTTTATCGCTGTTAACCTGTTTTCACTAAGCATACATTTTCCGTGCTAAGCAGCAACACTTGAGCCAAGTCGGTGATGCAATTTTGTTAAGAAACGTAACTTATTTTAAAAATTTAACAGAGAAGAAAGGGAAATGATTAAAACTGTAATCATTACCAACAGCTTGCAGAAACCTTCGTAATTTTGTAAAAATCGTTCATACCAAAATGCCATACATCAAAATGGTGTTTTCATCTCAATTCAATCGATTATTCCTCCGAAGTTATATGAATCATTCACTTTGTCAAAATGGTTAGAAATGATAAAGTGGCTACGATAACAGCATTTAAGGCCGTCTGAAGAGGAGAATCGATACCGTGGAAGTGATTTAAGCATATCGGTTTACACTGCGTCGGTACCTGATCGGCCTTCGCTGTGATCAGACATTTTAGTAATTAAGTGGGATTGTTTTTCTTCCGACCAAGGTGTTGTTTTTCTACCCGATACGGCCCGTTCAACACGATCGATATTCCTAGCCTGGGATGATAAAACATGACTGACTTAAACATTTTTTTCACTGTCAATTCCAACGCTACTGACGAAATACTGTTTTCTGCACTAGAACTTAACCCGGCAACATTTAATTAATTTGTTTCCAGGCAAGGAAATTTGGAATTTGACAGAGATGAAAAAGATGAAAATGTTCAATAAGACCTGTCAATATTTTATCACCTCGGTTTTTTTAAGCTTAGGATGGTGTATGATGACATTTTCCGCGTTCAGCCAGCCTTTATTCTTTCAAATGAATTTCAGAGCGAGGCAGACAAGAAGGTATTGCCCGGTAACAATTATCAGAGTCGAGGAATTATACAGTGTGAAGTCAGGCAACCATACGGTCAAATGATATGGTCGAAGTATTAAGTCCAACTGGACATGATGTCAGGGCACTGTACCCAACAGATCACCAGCCATTAGCAGCGTAACAGCACGGAACCATTTTTACCGACTCTAGGGACCAGGTCACGGTCCGTTTAGCGTGGGCGCTCGTGCGGCGTGACTAGCACTGCCATACCGCGGTCGCCAGTGTACGTGCCGTGCCCGTAAAGACGATAAGGACGAACGATTTATTTGGACTTGAGACGAGGCACCGTCTTAATAGCTAATTGGTCGTTGGTACAACATGCCGAGGCGGGACCAGGGAGCTATTTATAACTGTGGGATAGCTCTGTAGGTTTTTCTAGCGGTGCCGCGTCTTCAATTGAAACAACAGTATAGTGGTTGTTACCCTTTAAAGATAGACAATGTAAAGCACTGGGCCTTCACATTCAACATATAAATCTTTGGTAAAACCAAAAATATTAAAAAGGGGTTTTGAGATGGCTTTCTGCAAGTACTTTAAAAAAACAAAAAAACAAAAAACGGCGTGGATTAAAGGGACATTTCGGCACCATGAAATCCCCGAAAATTTGTTGTTTTGGCTTGTTGACTTATCCTATTTCAAAGGGCTGGTTGAAAGGAAACTAACCTAACTTATTACCATTCCCGAGAAAAGACAAAATAAAACCCCAGGTTGATTTACTTCTGACGCGGCGGGCATTTTGTGGCACACGCATACGTTTTTCCAGCCGTGTCCATTCAATGTACAGTACTCGTTTTGGGGCGTGTGACACATAATACATACAGCACCAATACACAAATAACGTTTGTAGCACGTCCGCAAAATGCAATGCACTGGTGGAACATGTGCGGCAGGATTCACGACTAGCACCCAACAGCTCCATTTTTGAGAATCAAAATGTTGACCCCTGAATTTCGTTTTTGCAAGAATAACACAAAAGCGCCCAGTTCTTAAAGAGTGGTTGTGTGATGTTTATCTCCTACTTTTAAATGCTCTTTCCAATGAACATGTTTGGTTTTAAACGCGTTTTGCATCCCAATTGGGCGCACTACAGGACGTAATGCCCCTTTAACGTTAACATGTGGAAATTGTACCTGATCAGTTTTGACTAAGTTTTCCGGAGAAAAAGGGTCTCGAATTATTTTCCGGGCACTGGAAATTCGAAATGCGCGGGGGTCATGAGACGCTTGGTGGCGTTTTTCATAACATAAGCTTGTAAACGCGCACTTGACTTGAAATTACATTGTAATTGAAGGGATTGCTTCGCAATTTTATTTTTCTTTGTATAACTACATTCTCTTTCTAAAAAAGAAACCTAAAGTGAAAACAATTCACCACATAGGTTTCTTCTATATTTTGAATAGGAACGAAGATAGACGATTTTGCCTATCAAAATAATTACAGTCAAATAAAGTCAAACTGTGCCTAACTTAGTTTCACTTCTAAACACAGCTATCTGAGGCCAACACAGTTTTTCTCAGAGAAAAGTAGTTCCCCTATGGGACTCACCGCGTGTTCCGAGGTGTCCTTTGTCTTGGGGTAGGGCTCACCACTCTCGCCCACGTAATATTCATCCATGGAGTTAGGTCCGGTCAGTAAGGGCTGCAGCATGACGATCATGCAGATGTACTTCAGTATGAAGGACACGGCCAGGTTCTTGTGGATGTTGATACGCGTGCACTGTAGGGACCTGCCGTCGAAAAACAACAACAAGAGCCACTGTATCAAAATAATCCGGTGTCATATGAAATTTTGACTCGTATACCCTAAAAACAGATTGGTTGAAATAACCAATATATTGGTCAAATTCAACCAATGTGGTTGGTAGATATTGTGTCCAACCAATATATTGGTTAAAATAACCAATCTGAAACGTTTTGCTTTTCAACCAATCTATATTGGTCAGAATACTAACCAACATGTCTTGGTTGTATTAAAACTGGTCTCTTTTACCTTATAGATACTAACCCTCATGTGTGACCGTTCAATGGCCTAATTATATCTTCACTAAGGCATGCGCAAAACAACCAATGGGTTTGAATTTCATAATGTCCAAATGGGTGCGATGTTATGACGCGACTTCGGGGTAAAAAGGTTCATTGATGCAGTAACCATTTACAATAGTTGTAGTAATGTATACGTACATGTATATATTTCTAATAAGAGAAAAGCAACATGTAAACTTACGTCAATTACCTTTTGAGTCTTGTCTATTTGGACCCCAATATATCTTCACAACACTTTAAAAAAATACCCGGGTCAGATTGGCCTGGAATCCTGTTTCTATTATAGCCTCAACTAGGTTCCAGGTCAAAATGAAAATTTGTCGGGTCAAAATGACCGTTTTCGGTGTAATTTTAACCCGGCAAAGTGTTATTTTTGACCCGGAAAAGAGTTGAGCTAAGTAGAACAATCTGACCGGGGCCAATCTGAACCGGATGTTTGTAAAGCATATAGAGCGCCCCAATTCGCTCAAAATGTGCCCCAAATGTCACTTAGCCTATTTATGCACTCAACCAAATCAGCTGAGCACCAGTATACAGACAATTATACTGCAGAGCACTTTGGCTGGTAACCTGGGTTTTTTTTGCTAAGCAAATATGCTGTGTGAAGTGAACTGAGCAAATTCTTTTATAAATCGAAAAAGAACTTTTCAATTGACGTCTTCATTATAAAAACAGGCCAATAGATTTACAAATAATTATTTCAACCCTATGATGAATTGAGTAGATTTCATAGCATGACTAAAAAAATATGAGGAAAAGTGAATGTTTAACTCTGAGGCTTTTGCGCTATCTGTAACAAATCGATACGAAAGTGGAACAGATCCATTAAAAATAGTACAGTATGTCACGTGCAGGAGGCCACCTGGTAGCACGGACACCTGTTTAAGGCAGAAGTGTGTGTGGAGCTGATAATGTGATAAACCGAGGAGTATGTAGACTTAAGTGCATGTCTACATGCATGACACATGGATGTGCCTTCTCGGGAGAGGTTTTGACTTCGTTCAACAGGCACGAAGATGCGAATATCGTCCGCAAGGCTTGAAATGCGACTAATTATCATAATTTGGACAGCACTGCACTGTATATAATAACAAGGCCCGTGCACAAAACTATGCAATAAGTGCTAAAATGTGAAAAATGGAAGGACAATTAAACGTCGTATCAGTCGTGGGCACACAACTATAGCGATCTTCTCTGGTTTGTGAGCATTCAAGGATAGTGAATTTTTTCAATTGCGTTGCGCGCCATAAGCGTGAGTGGGGCGTGGCTTTGACATGATCACGACGATCGCGTCCTTTCAAAGCAAGGAAAGGTGCGCATGTGCAGTGGAAGGACTTCTCAACCCTGAACAGGTACACCACAAATAAATTCTCGTGCTTATCGGTGAGAAAGATGTCTTTCCCCCGAAATGCGTCATCATCCTGCAACGACCTCAGAAAGGAGAGAACATGCTTAAATATCAAGGCGGCTTAGGCAACTTTCACACCTCTAATGCGGGTATAATCTTACAAGCATTAGCTCGCGCGACTCTTTTCTGTCAGGACACACGAACAATTTTACGGGAGAAAACGAAAGGCAACCGACATGTGTTATCTATTAGATGCCATGCTTCATTGCTCAGGCTCAAGCATAATAGCGAGGTTTGCATCCACCAGGCGAAGAAAAAGTCAATAAAGGCCCAGTGAAGACACCGCTGGGACTTGCGGAGAACTCCTAAAGCACATATCGATGGCTGCCAGACGATAATTTGATCCAGTCTGAGCTAACAAGCCCAAATGATTATTGTAATTCACTCCAAGCGGCTCGCGGAAAGATAACAATGAGCTTCATGTTGTACATTTGTATTAAAGATTAATTTAAATAAAATGTTTTAAAGATCAGTTATTGCAATTCATTTTGTATTTTGTTTATTCGTTTAATATAGGCTATGCATGTATACCAACGGTAAGTTTCAGTTATCAAATAAGTAAAAATTGAAGGTTCTAAAAAAAGGCGTTAGTAATTTTTGTGGTTAAAGTTGTCGGAGTCCTAGCAGATAGTTTTGTTTTTAAAGGAACGTTAATCGACCTTTCCATACTGCAAAATCCACATAAAACCTGTTGTTGATTTGCATGCTACCACGCATAATGGTGGTCCTTAACAAGCAGAACACCAATTAAGGTACCATTACGCCAGTGGGAGCAATTCCGTTTCAAGAAAAGGCTTCTAGGGTTGTCAGTAATTCAATTTTCAGCAGGCAAGTAATCAGGTTGGATCGGCGATTTCTTATTCAGCGTTCTTCTGCCTTCAGGAATTCTTCTCCTTCCGCCCGAAGGCTGAACTATTTGGTAAAAGGCAACTTACTGCCGCCTGAAAGCATGCGATCCGTTTGCTTTCAAATGGCAAGAGTGAGATTGAGTTTGTATGCAAATGAGGGGCATGAAAAAAGCCAAGTTTGGACGAAATGTGAAAAAAAAATCGAGGAAAAAAAGTTAAGTACTTGTAAATGAACGTCCTGGAAAACACACACGAGACTTTCAAGAAAGATTAAACGGTACAACTATTTAATAAGATAATGTAGACATAGACATTCTTCAAATATCAATGACCAAGTTCGATCAAGAAGTATGTTAACCAAAGTTGAAATATTCATCGAACCCAAGCTATTCAGACGAAAAGTGTAGCCCTACAGCCGACTCTAATATAATGTCTAGTCTAGCTTATGTCTAGTCGCTAGTTTTTAATGGTCGCGCGTGTCACAATGTACAGCAGGGACCCATGGAGCGAACGATTACGAGGGAGCATTTGCATCGTATTTCAAGTTTCCAACCACCTTAGCGCCAAAAGTGATACCTTTGAGAGACGTGGAATTAGGTAGACATTTCCTAATGCCTTAGCTCCTAATATTTAGAGGTAAAATGTTAATGTGGCAAATAGGCTAGATCGATTGCTCGTGGTCCAATTAGTAAAAATAACGAAATTCGTGTTAAAAAAATGAGACTTGAGGCCTCAAGGAATGGTTTCGTTGCTCCGTGTGTCTATACTCCTTCTCCACATACTGGCAAGTATGTATCGGGGTACACAAACACAAAGTGTGACAGCGTAGCGTGTCAGATTATTGAACATCAAACGGCCGTCTTCAAAGAGAAATATTGCAACCATTCCAAAGCATGACTGATGATGATGGTATGTGACGACAAACACCCAGGCTTGGAGACAGACTAACTTATAGCAAACCCCGACAGGATTGCGAAAGTGTGGGAGGGGAAAACGTGCCTTAGGCCGGGCTGTTAGCCTTTGAAATGAGCCGTCGGTAAGAACATCCAGATCAAAAATTAACCGAGCATGTGATTAGCAACGCCATATGTCGGGGAAAAAAACGGGAACGTGACAACAGTTTTGTAAAAACAAGTTTGCCGCCCCCTGGGCAGTGATTGCTCCCATGTAACAAAGGCGCCAAATTATGGCGGGATATTATCTCGTTATAATCTCATTAAAAATTTCAGTTTATTAGATATAAGCGCATGCCATCTTTACAAATACAGCTTGAACTCTTTGGCCGATAATTTTGCTCTACCCGAAAGGCCGGTCTTTTGACTGTTGAGGTATTTTGACTTAGTCACTGACGGACTGCGTCACAAAGTAACTGACTGACTGACTCCCCGAGTCACTGACTGACTACGTAATAATGCTCATCTTTGCGGCTTTCCGGTCCGGCCCGACTAGGCTTGCCTAGTTTTTTCCCAGAAGGCTTTTTAAGTAAGTATCAAATTGCCTACATCACAACTCCCATAATGCTTTGATTGCTATAGCGTGCAGACTTTTTAATTAGACAGCGGTCTACACGAATGATATGATCCATGCTAGTTGTCACTCTGCGTGCACGCGGCACCGTATAGGGACGATTTGGTGTCTCCTTCATCCAATCTTTTTGCTATCGGGGGCATGAAATTGGGACGGCACGGTGGCCCACATAAGGTGTTGTCTCACGGTCCGGGGATATTGATTTCCGCACTGTTCGTCACACAACGGGGTATCGTTCTAATGAGGAAAATCTCTTTATTGATAATAGGTATGCTCCCGAGATGGAGTTGTGTAGCGTGATATCAGTACTCTAGATATCAATACTCTAGTTATAACATTGGATGAACTGCGCAGAGGCTGAAATGCCTCGTTATTAACAGAGTTGTCCGAAGCCTTCGCTTGCAAATTTTTTTCATGGTATCTGACAACAAATATATGTGTCGAAACACCTAAAAATGTCTTTTCCCCCATTACTTTTTAAAAGAATTGCTTGAAACATTTCCGTTTCAAAACACAACGACCACCAGGAATTTTGCTTTAAAGATATAGCGAGACAGTTGGGAAATACTTTTTAACAAGGGAAATTATTTGTCCCAGAGTATAGAGAAATTGTGTTTGCGACATAGCAGCGTTGCCGCAAAAGCCAATTAATTAAAATAGGCTATGTTATTAGTGTGGCGTGTGTGTGAACGGGTTGTGCCGTTTCCCGCGGCGCAAAAATTCTCTTGGCGCCAAAACCGTCCGGAAAAGCCCGCCACAATAACAGCGAGCTTCACCGCGTGCTTCACCGCGAACAAACAAGCAGATAAATAGATGTCCTACGTGTCTGTATTTCTCCCGAGCATTCTCGACAGAAATAAGTTCAAGTCTTTTGTCACTCTCCTTAAAAAAAAGACGACACCTAATTCCACTGCGCGACATCTTCAGAGATTTCTGAGGGGTGATTAACGGTTCTATTGTAGCTCAACCTGCAAAACAGGCCAGTTCATGAATGGACGTAGGTGCAACGACACAATAATTTCTCCTAGGACAACTCTGTTAGGTTTGATTTTTTTTAAGTTACAAGCTGGGTGGTAAAAACCATACGACACTTGTATGCAAACAGATTGCAGAACACTAAGCAGTCTGGCTCGGGTTCCCCCACTTTATTCGACTTCGAAAAGAGGAGACTGGAACCAGTTCTACAAGAGGCTGGTTCCCATTATGATTAAACATTACGATCCATTGCATACCACGCTTCAAAAAGTCCTGGGTCAGATTAAGCCGGAGTCTGAATCCAGACCTGCTCAGTCCTTTTCCGGGTCAAAAATTACCTTCTTGGGGTCAAAAGATATATTTTATAGGTCATTTTGACTCAGAGAATTAGTGTCAGTTTTGACCCGGGAAAGGACTGAGCAAATTTGGATTTAGATTCGGGGTCAATTTGACCCAGGAGGTTTTAGAGTGCAGAAAAGTGTTGAAGAACACGCGGAGTCAACTATAAATAAACGCGCCAATACGGAGCAAATTGTAATGCTGGACTGTAGTCTAGTCGACTATACAAGCCAGGGGGTCATTTTCAAAGTCTGACAAGACCACAGAGCTAAACTAAAGTGCTCTTTGGATACATCAACAAAATTAGATGGCCAAACAATCTCGGTCTTAATCAATAAGCAAGACCTTTTTTCTAAGGCAAATGACTTACTTGAAGTAGCAGAAGATGAAGAGCGTGATGACAAGGAAGATGAGGGACAGGACGCAGCCAAACAGCCAGACATAGGGCATGGCCTGATTGGTGAACAGAGGGACTGGAATGGTCTGGGGGAAAAGTGGAACGCGATGAAAAAGAGTACTTGCAATCAAAACAGTCATGACAATGTTAAAATATCGTTTTGACTGCTGATCTATGCCTGATTAAAAAAAAAAAACCAGTTTCAAACAAGTAGACTAAGAGGACTGTTATTTGAAACGTCTTCTTTTTGGAGCCCTGTTTCTAGATACTTCAATGACGTCGAATAGCAAAACTTTGGAAAGTATGTTAATTTCTACAAAACTGGGATTAATGTTCTGGATAATGAAGACGAACAGAAGTCCTTTTCACTTGCTGACAGTCTTAGACTTACTGGAGGACTGTAAGTCCTGAGACATTCACCATAGTCCGTCCACTTGGCCCACTTGCCCGTCTCCGTGCACAGTCTGTGGGCTCTGACAGCTGGTAAAATTGGAACAAAACAAGTTAATTATTACATCTGAGGTATTTGTTGTTGCTTCTTCGTCTTCTTTCGTATGGCGTACACAGCCTACAATTGAAGGCCAAGTGTATTTGTTGCCGAGAAGTGTTCATATTGTGCCGATTCATTGCAAACGTTGAGCTATGTTTTCGCATATGGCAGTTACTTGTTGAAAAGATGTATGTCAAGGGTAAGCCCTGTAAAAACAAACAAACAAACAAACACCCCAACAAACAACCAAACAAACACCCCATTAAACAAGCAAACAAACAATCCAGAAAAAAAACCCAAGAAATTTCGATTCAAAGAATTCGAATTCGAAGTTTTTTAAAACAAAAACTAATCGATTATTTAAGCTCTTTTTGCAAGAAGTAGGTAAGTTAATATCGACATAACGTAACGGGAGTTTATTGGCGCCTACAATTTCCTGATGTCGTATTTAGGTAAAAAAAAAAGGTTTAATGACACTATCCGATTTTAGATAATGATTTGTTCTTTACTATAGCCATGCTTTTAAATTTCCCACAAATTAAGACAACAAATTGTGACAAAATATATTTTTTTTGCAGATCGGGGTCGAAAGATTGGTGACTTACAAGAGGAGTTGAAAAAGGGGCAAGGAATGCTCGCGTTGTGCCCTACGGTCGTCGGCGGCCAACACAGAATACCATCGTGCGAGACGTTACAGAACTTGGCACCTGCAAACAATAAATGACCGATAAGAAAATTACGACAAATAAAGACACATTTGTTAAAAGATTGTAAACTTATTTTTAAGTAATATGTTTTCAGGTTTAGAGGTGACGAATCCTTAAAACAATACGTGATGCACATGTTTCGTTCAATGACTTTGTAATTATTTTCTATATACTTGCACGGAACGGCCATCATTTAATATAACATTCGCCAACATTGTTCGTTTGAGACAAGTTAGAAAAACATTTCTGGGTACAAAGGTACCATTACACACAACCCTTATGTTTCCAGTTTGGGTTATACATATCTATAGACATTGCGATACAAAAGTGACGGCATGCTTAAAATCGAGACCATTGTTTAAATGGCGGCTGTATTTTCAAATCGAGGCTTACCCTTTTATGGTACCCCTTCATGCTATAGTTCACTTTCTGTGTACACACTGTGCCGAAGAGAGCCCTAAAACGCACCTGAAATCGTAAACCATCTGGTCTAAAACATGTGAATTTGGTAAAGTTGATGTAAATGACGAATAAGAAAGAACATGTCTTACTCGGATCATTATTGCCGCTGCTTCCACGTTAGTAATGTCTCTGTAAAATTTTAACGTTTGCAATCTTTCTTTTATCCTGACAATTATTCTACATCATAGAAACATGACCGCAAGGGGAACACGAATTTAACACGCGGTACGTGCTTCACATCGACAAGTTTAACAGAATAAACACGTCGGACTTGGCTCATCCCGTGTCAATTTAGATTGATGGCCGCGGAACATGCCTTCACTAGTTCCACCTCACCCATTCAATAATGTTCAAATGAAATGAATTGGTATGATTTGATTTTCATTTGTTAATCATTAGTGGGGAGGATTAGGTGGAGCGCTGTGGTCGAATGGTTACGGCGTTCGACTCACATGCCGTGGTACGTGGGTTCGAACCCTGATAAGGAACATGTTGTTTGTGTCTTTGGGCAAGACACTTTACTACAATTGCCTCTCTCCACCCAGGGGTATAAATGGATACCTGTGAAGGTAGAGACCAGAATGCGCTGATCTTGAGCTGCTGCAAAAAAATGGTCTCATGGCCTGATGAACGATAATTGTAAAGCGCTTTGAGACCGTTGGTATAAAGCGCTATTATATAAGCACATTAGTATTATTAGGACACGACTCTTGTCTGTTTACTGGCAGCACTAGGAATTCCTCTGTATATTAGGCCTTACGAGTTGCAGGTGTCTCAGATGTTGTAAATTGTTATTTTTATTCAGTATCAATAAAAACACAAAAGGTTTCCTCGTGCCTATCCCAGCAATATAAATTCATTGGCCATCTGACCCCGCCTTAACGCTTATAAAGTAAAATCAAGCCTGTCTCGAGCCAATATTGCCCAGCAGGCCGGCGTTTATTTCCGGATTCAGCGGATGGAGAGAGGCAAGTGAGGATAAAGTGGCCTGCCAAAGGACACAATATATGGCCAGCAGCTAGATTCGAACCCCTGACCCTCTGATCAAGGGTCACAAACACTAGCCACACTCCTGCATAAGGTCTATTTTCAAAAAAAAAATTAAGCTGTCGAGACTCGATGACGTAGAATTCACGTCAGATTCGCTGCCTTTGTTTTGAGGAGGTTCCCCGTGAGTTTATAATTATTTCCATCACCATGGCCGAATGGAGGGATTATATGCGATAAACAATCGCCGCCTGTCCGCGATTCGTCAAGTGGAAGGTCGGCCTGGAAGCTAGCAGATTCCTCAGCGATGTAAACATGCAGCGCGCGTGTAGTTATTACACACCCTGCCATAATGGATGATGGCAATTGGGCCGCAGTATAACGGTTCGGGCAAGCTCGTCTTAAAGGTCTCTTTGGAGATGGAAAAAAGGGGCTAATATCGTACAGATTTACACAGTCTGCTCAGCTGTCATCCATCTCATTTTTACCCCTACCAACTCAACCATCCGACTCACCCGACCGATACTCGCTTATGAACTTGTTAAGTTCTTATTTCGATGAGCTGTCAATTTCCAGTGCCTAGCTACAGCCCTTTAATGCTGTCTTATTTGGGAGGTAACCGTGGAACGGAGGATGACGCGATCTTATTTATAAAGCTGGACCTAGTTTCATCTGTACTTTGGCAACTTAACTCCACTCAGTCACTGATGTAACTAGTTTTTTTTGGGGGATACATTCCGATGAATCCAGGGTCCATACGAGTAGAGAGATCTAAGGAATCAATTAGTGTTAACACTAATAACTTAGGAAGAGAGATTTTCTAAAAATTAAAGTGAATCCAAATAATGCCAATGGAGCTCAGATATTCCACATTAGGTATAACCGTGAAGAAAATCAATATGGGACAAATATTTAATGCGAAATTGCATCTAACTTTAACATAATTTCATTTGGTAAAATGTTTATGATTATGCCGGTCATAAAGGGTTTTTTTATGGCGAACACCACGTAACATCTCGTTAATTCGTCATAAATGCATTTAATCCATCAATCATCCAACGACGGCAACACTCTCTTTAGTTATTTGCATATCATTAATGCCAATTGTGACACCCTACACTACTTTGGAGAGTGTTCGAGTGCTTCACAAAGGCAGTTCTTCTGTCCAATAATCACTATGCTGGGCATATGGAAGGCCAAGTTTCACACTTACACATGGAGATTTTGTTTTATTACATTTCGTATTCGGACCCTGAGCAAAGGGCGACAATGCGTATATTTTCCTCTTGCTGTTTGAGCTCGCTACTCGACAAGATCCTCTCCGGCCTGGGGGACATGCATGCTGTTTGTCGTGGCTTCGATGTGGCTAATAAGGAGGTGTCGCGCCGAGGCCTGAACAACAAGATGCCCGCCTCATGCGCGGCCCAAACCCGCCCCGGCCCGGGAAAACGAGACCTCTTTTACCTTGTCACGAACGACCACTGGCGCTCGCGGCTTGAATAAACCACGCGACGCGCAGAATGCGACCATTGCGCACGTTCGTCATTCAAACAAACAGCGCGGGATTTGCATTTTGGCGCCCAAAGTACTAGCAGGTACAAAATGTAACCAAGTACGGAGCCTGAGGCGTAGTAACCTACGCACGCTCGTGACTGTCAAACGAGCGCAGCAACTGGTATGGGAGCCTGACTATTCACGCAATGGGCGTGAGACCATTCAGTGCGCCTTTCCCCTTGACAAACAATTTTGTCCTGGGGGTGTTAACAAGTAGAGGTTTCTGATCAATCAATTAACGATACGAGCATCACTGACCTCGTTGTGACCTCATTTGGACAAATTACTGTCTGCAGGATCTATCTCAAGGGTAAGCCTCCTCCTTTGATGTTCAGCCTTCAAGGCGTGTGTGATAACACCCGCGTGATTAGAAAACCGCGAAATCGGATCCAATTTACGCCAATAAGTGGAACAGCTAAATTGAATTATATCATCCATTATTCATAAAAGGCAAGCATCGGTTGATCATTTACATGCCTCCGTGGTTTCGGTTTTCAATCAATAATTAGATTGGCTAGTTGCTATTTTTCTTCAAACACAAAATGTTAGCAGCAGCAAAGGAAACACAAAAGCAACGCGACTTCGACACTTTTCAGTACAAACCGAGACTTTTTTTAAAATCAAGATCAACATTTTATCGTTGACTATTTAAAAATAGTTCGAGAGTAAAACGATATGTTTTTTTAAATATAGGTTATAAATAACACGGGGCTTGACGGACTTTAGTTGATTTCCCTCGTTTCTGTTTGTTTGTTTGTTGGTTGGTTGGTTGGGGTGTTTGTTGGTTTGTTTGGGTTCTTTTTCGGAGGTAGAGGTGAAAGGGGAATTCAAACCAAAAATAAAACCACCCCACCACAATTATTACGAATATCAATTTTAAGGCCTCAGGCAAAAGATATCCTTCAAAAGCTCAGAAATACATAGAAATCGAGACGAGATATCCACGGCATCGCGTTTCAAAAACAGTCTGCTACTTTTCGCTCACTGCGCATCTTTACAATCCCAACAAGATTCTTTTCTCTGTCTATATTAAAAGAAAACAGTGACAAATATTTTGACAAATATTAGCAACAACAGCTATATGACTCTTGTATTATATGAGCCTGGTAGTCCATGTATATATTGTCGAATATATTGTATATTTTGTTTTCATGTGGCGGTATAACATAAATATAAGTAAGGAAATTTTATTGCAAAACAGGATGGTGGGAAAATATACGGGACGACACAGGACACCCGACATCCGGACGAAAATATTGAAATGATCGGTCTGGTATTGTCGGCACACAAAAACGCTCCTCTTTTTGTTCAGGAGTACAAAGGCAGGAACATTCGGAAACTAGCATTATTCGCGTCTCTTTGTGGGGAAGAGACTGGGCACGCGGAGCGCCGGCACGTTTAAAACGAGCCGCTTACTCCCACAGGATTGACTCTGGTGACGTGAATGCTTCTATTTTTCCAGTCTGTTTTCTTTTTCTTCTTTTTTTTTTTGATTAAGAAGGTTTTGTCAGTTTAGACGGGAACTGGACACAAAACTGAAACTTAGAAATATTATGGCTTCCGGGAATCGCGCACATGTCGAAATTGACAAATTTAATATTTATTTTTTCGGTAGCAATAAATGTAACTAGATATTTTGTTGACACGAAATGAAAACAAATTTCGTTGTCAATGTAGGTGCTGAAGAACAGGGAAGTATAAAATCGGAAAATAGTGCCCATCTTGGGGGTCGATGTTATTTCCTCAGTAAGATCATCAATATATAATCACAAAAGGTGAAACTGTGTAATTTCAAAACAGATTTTTCTCATAAACAGAAAAGGACGTTTGAGATGTTGGTATTTATAAAATGCCACCTGAGGCTATCACGAAATTGGCAAAATTAAGAAATTGGAACGGCGAGACAAATTTACGAAACCGCAACAGGAAAAAAATCCATGGACAGGCTCAAACAAGTTCGACCTTTTGAAAATTTAAAGTCTTAACTTGGAAATTCAATCAGAGCAAACCGAAACAAAAACCGCACTGCGTCGTCTCGATACTCTATTTAAGTCGGGAAAAAATCTTCAACTTTCTCCCCAAACAAACTTGATCTTTGCTGTCTCACCAAGAAAAATAATCGTATACCATTCTTATTTCTACCAACGCATTATCTTGAACACCTTTCTCCGTCATGATTCTGCTTTCGTATCAGTTTCAAGCATGTTTTTTTCTGATGGAAATAGAAATGAAGTCAAATCAGTTTATAAATTACCTCTCTAAAAAAAAAGGGAAAAGGAAGGAAACATTAATCTTGCCTGTTTGTCGAAGCTCCGAGGTGAGTTCCCGGTACGTGAAGTCACACAGGTAGTTCTCCAAGCTAAAATTAGCCATGTTGAAGAAGTTGAATAAGGAACCGTCCCCACCGCCGGCCTGCCAGCTGGCCGGCCTCGTGCCGTCCTCCCAGGTCGTGCCTTGCAGCTCCGTCAGCGCCTCCTCCGTGCCGTATAGTACTGTGGCGAACTCCGTGTACTCCGTGGTCACTGCGGGGGATGCGGTGGCAGCATCCTGCGGCGGCAGTGGTACGGCCTGATTGTGAAAGGTGACGAAGAAGATGATGATGTGAGAAAACCAGAGTGAAAATGAGGACACCGTGATGTGGCGGATGGGATGTCGACAGCTTGTCTTACAGACACATTAAATCCGAGCCGTGAGGAGCGCTCCGACGTGTCAGCCGAGAAAAGCCAATTTGGGTCCCCATATGTCGCCCGTTCCGTTCGCTTTAAACGAGATCAAGTTGACTTAAGCTAAGGATGATCGGGAACTTTCTGGCCTGGCCGTGATCAATAAGTTCAGCGCCTTTCCGAGGTGTGTGGGTATATATACTCAGACAACCACTTGTGGCTGTAATAAACATGGGGGAAAGACGTAGATGGGACGAGCCAGTGGGGGAAAGGGTGAAAGCCCCCGTCTTGTTCAAATTTAAAGAACTCTCTCGAGCGAAATTCTTGAGCTGACTTGGCACCGACTGGGAGACTAAATTACACTCGGCCAGATGATGAAAAAACGTGGCATGTGTTAGTACACCGTCTAGAGACGCTGCAGAAGGTCGATCTCAAGTGCAAGATCTTTGCATATCAAACATATGTCCAAAAAAAAAGGTTGGGGAAAAAACTGCGATGCGAGAAAAGAGCCCGTTGCGTTTATGTGATCTTATTTTTTTCCCTTCCATGTTCAGCTCAGGGAGTGAGCTGTGTTGTCGCCAACAAGTGCGCGGATGCACTTGGCAAGTTGGAGTGGGCCCTTGGAAAATATATACTGAGTAAATTTGAGGGCAACAAGATGCAGGATATATACTCGGGGATGCTATAAACAGAACAGAGATGGGAATATATCAATCGCCGACCGGGAACGTTGGAGGGCTTCAGGCTCTGGGGACAAGGAGATGGCGGATATACATACTCGCGCCCGGGCAAATTCAATGGTGCGCAGCCAGGCATAATGGCGTTAGGCCCTCGCCGCGGGGACCCTGGGGACGTGTTTTGATGGGAATGCTGCCCGGGCGTTTTTTTGGCAATACATGTAATTGTGGGAGAAAGTGCGAATGCATGCAGTACTCTCTCCACCTGCTTTATTAGCTTTTTACGGCATGCACAACATCGTCATGTTCGAGCCGGAGCCGAGTCGCATTCGTTAAACACATAAAAGACGCTATATGGCGTTATTATAATGTTCCTCATGTTCGTTCCCTGATTGGCAATTAATCTGTAGGGAACCAGGGACGCTAAGGCTGGTATACTGTGAGTGGAAATGCTGTTAGTATTCACCAATAAGAAATTCTGTCATAGCTTTGTAGTTCAATTAAATATTGTCATTGGGCTTAAGGAAAATAAGTCAAGGCATATTATCAAACAAAACCAAAAAAAAAACAACTGTGACCACAGGTGTATTAATTCTACCTGTGCAGGAAAAGTTACGTCCATGAATCTATGAAGGTTAGTATAGTTATAAAGTCTTACATAATTAATGAATGGTACACTATGAGACACTTTCTAATCATTATTGTTTAATATTGGGGAGACATCGATCATTAGGGAGGCATGAAGAGATATATTTTAGTGACTCCGTAAGTTTTACCACCATTTCTAGAACAGTATAATAGGAAAGTTGGAGGGGGATTTACAAATGGGGCTGAGGGAAAGTAGGCCTATCTGGCAACATATTTGTACACCTAGTCTAACATTTTACAAAACTATAAACCAAACATAAACTGATGCGGGATTGGGCTTGTATGTTCGGGCTTTCGATTTAGGACATGAATATGGGTTTAAGACTGAACTGGCTGATCCAACGTTAACTTGAACTCGGTCGCATATCAGATCAGAAATGGAATCATTGAAATAAGTAATCGTATACTTTTTCACAATTGTATAAAAAAAAACACCAGACATCAGAATGAGTCTTCCCAGGTGAATCGAGAGCTCTGGAAATTCCGAGGATTTATTCTGCGATTTTGATGCGAGAGAATTGCATCACTCATGTGAGTACGCCCCCTCGTTAAATCATTTTGACATTACAAGATGATATTCTCTGGATATGCCAAGGATTTATTCTGCTATGTTGATGCGAAATAATTGCATCACTCATTGTGACTACGCCCCCTCATTGAATCATTTTGGCATTACAAGTTCATCATTAGAAATGTTAAAGGGAATATACATCATTTGCTTTTGCTGTAATATTCAGAAATGGATGGAATTGGGGGGTTGGAAATATATAGCAAATATAGTTACACTGACATTTTTTAGGTTTTGGGTTCGAAAATGCTATAAAAACCAAGAAAAACGATCATTTTCCTGTAGTCTGGTTCCCTGACTCCATATAAGAAGAAACAGAGCAGTTTACATACATTGGGGAATTGTAAGGTAAGGGAACCAGTCTAGCTGGCTCGTACCCGTTCATATGTTTGTAATCGATTGCAAACAAGTGCGATGGTCAATTGGGACCAGTATTTAAAAAAAAAAGCCAGTTGTTTCCAACGCTGATCGGCCGATCAGCGTTGGAAATTGATACAGAAATACCACATTTCTTGAAAATGACAGTATACCAGGTGCCATGATTTTACAGGATGCTTTACACTGTCATTCACTAACAGTCCAGCAAGGTATTTCAAAATGATTTGGTAGTTTTATTTTTTGATATTTGCAAATGTTGTGCTTTCCCTTTAACTTGTCCGAAGCTATGGTCTAGATCCAATGGAAATCTGATACAGCCATTATACGTTATTACATTATCCTGCTAGTACAATGAAACTTTGCAGATTAAAAGGGCATGTCTATGAAGATTATCTTTTTTACAAGATGCCTGGTGATGCTTATTGTTACGGGAAATGTTACCTCATTAAAGGAGACATGCCAATAGGGTTGTGCATGAAGTTTTCCCAACTTTAATGACCCGTAACCCCAATTTTCCCTTATCTTTCCCTCACGACTGTTGGTATATTTAAGTTTTGAAGCACGAGCAACTGATCTAGGCTATTTGCGACACTAAAATGTGCCTCCAAACAGGACCTGTGACATTAGGGAGACATTAATTATGTCTCCTTAATCTATACCTTGTCTCCAAAGGGTATATGTCGCAAAAAAATGTCTCCTTAAAAAAACATTAACAGGAATTTTATGTTTTACTTTTTGAAAATAACTTACTCTACATTTTTTTTAAATAAATTTTTGCCAAGAGTTAAAAAAATAATCAGAACCAAAATGGTGAAATCAATTTAAAACAATTTATCACCATTCGGTGAGCTTTTGCACTAGGCAAAGGCTCTTAATGCATACTTTACAGAATGAAAAGGTTTCAATGCACATGTACTTGAGTCAAACTGTAGGAGCTTGTGTGTGTTTTCCACAGAAAATCATAGTCTACAGGGGATACGTCATTGCGATAAACACAACTCGAGTGATTTTGTGGGAGTTTTTTTACCGATTAGAATTACGAAATGTCACAGAAGGTAGAATGTAACAGCATGGCCTAATACTCCTTGGTAAATGGACAAACCACCTGCTGGCCCGGGAACCAATTAGGAAATCTGAGCGCGAATGTGCCGTGAATGCCGCGCGTGCACTTTCGCGTGGATTCAGAGGTTATATAATTGCCATATTTGGCGGATGTGAGCGTAGTCAACTCAGCGCAGTGTATTACGGACTTCATAGAAGCGAACAATCGGAGGTAAGTTACATGATACGGCGATTGGCCAGAGAGAGAAAAAGCAGCTTCTTAACAAGTCATTCAATACTCCTGGCTGACCTTTTACGAACGTCTGAGCATGGAGGGATGCCGCTGAAACAGCGGAAACCCGACGAAGACGAACTAGCTGATATTATTGTAGCTAGACGTCTTGAGGGACTCAAGTCTCAACACAAAACCTTGCAGTTGATGATGAAGCAGTCTTTCATCTGAGACGGTATTACGAAGCTATAAGCTTTGGTACGTTTGCAAGCTTACCATTAAGTGAACAGTGAATACAATTTTCGCTAAACCACAGTCTTATGGGACTAACATAAAAACTGCGATTGATGAGGCTGTCCTTTTTTCCTAAGATGTTTTTATGAAACTCTGACGTTTGGTACGAAGGGTACCATTAATTTTGTACAAGGTCAAAAGTAAAAGTGCTGCTTTTCGTTAACTGCAGCCTAAAACAAAGCATTGAGGGAAACTGACGATAGGTTTATTTCTGATTACAATTAGATCAAACAAAGAGCAGGGCTTGAACCTGAGACCATCGGAACACCATACGAGTGCCCTACCAACTGAGCTATCCAGCCATATAATTGGTAGTTCCCAATTTGTCAATGTCCAGGAAATAGTTTTAATCAGGGATCATTCAGAAAAGATCGGCAGCCTATATGTAGCGCTAAAACGGCACGAATAATATGTAATAACACAAAGTATAACGCAATAATACTATCACACAGAAATAGAAGTATGAATTACGAAATAGCAGTATGCAAACAGCCGTCGGATCCGGATGCGTGCGATCATACTATAATAGGGGATGAAGGGATTTTCAATTAATGAGATTTACTGCAAGTGGATTGAACTCCTCCGTGAGATAATATCGTATAATCCCTTTCCAGAGAACCGATTGTTATCGGATGGAAATTGCCTTTGACGACCCCAAAAAAGAAAGTGTCGAGGAAGGTGAGGAGGACTGAATCATTCTCGACGCGCCAAAATGGATTTTGTAGGCTGCCCTAGAATTGACCGGGCGACAAGCGTGACTGGCAAATCCGGGGCCGATTAAGCGAGATTGCGACGATCGGGTGCAGGCCTCTGGCGACTATTCTGTAGACGTCTGGAGTCGGCACCGCGCGCCCCCTGTACTCTGTCTGTATTGACCTACGGGCGAGTAGGGAACACCACAAGACGTCTTTATCGATCTGAATTTGCTGAAAATCCATGGGTAGGTGAAGGATTCGTATACGCTCACTTTGAGGAGCTTCTTCTCAATAATAGCCTTTTGAAATTTTCTTCGGGGTAATTTTTATATGGCGATTTAAAAATCTATATATTTATGGAATTAATCCGCAAAGATTGGAGTATGCAAACAAAAATATATCAGATATGCAAACGCCGCTTTCAGGATTTTTTTAACAGTACTCATTCAATATAAGGTTTTGCACTTC